GCGGGACGGTTTTCAATTTCTCTTTTTTAAAAGTCACATTCCTGCTTTCCCTTTCTTGATCGTGACATCCGCGATCTCCCTACCTACGATGTTAACATGTCGCAGTTGAATCGGATATTCAAGAGCTTATACTGAATATCATTAGTTCCGTGATAGCTGTCGACTGCTGGGGTTCCCTAAGAGTTTTTGGTCATGATCATGCATATTATTTTTTTGTATGGTATGGAAGCCAATGGGTTGGATTATGATAATTAGTGTGCCTTTTGTACTGTTGTCAATACACGAGTTCTAGATATAAGGATTACTTTGATTTGACCTTTATTGACATGGTGCGTATCGTCAATGACGCAAAAGACGCTAGCCCTTCCGAAACATGTGGTGTTATTTTTTTCAAGGGTCCCAATTTGAATCTCTGTTCGGTCCTTTTTTGGCCTACTTTTATCGATTTGAAATCGAGTTATGGTTTTGTTGACACCTCGGTATATTGTGTTGTTTTTCTAGATTATTTCTTTTTATCTCCTTATATATTTTGATATTAGTAAATACTGATATTTCCCGGGTGGTGTATTTTTGTACTTAATCCCTGATATTGATCTGATGGCTTTAATTGTTTAACTGATTTTTCCCCGATCTAATGTGATCACAGCAATCCGCGATATCAGTTCATTAGTAATTTCTTTTTAAACTTAAAATCATTTTTATTTCATAGTTATTATGCGAGACATAGCATATTGTTGTATATAACTTTTCGCGGTTTTAATGGCAGAACGTGTAGATATTTTAATTACAACAAAATGTGAATATTTTTCCTGTTTTCCTTTTTCCTTTGCTTCAATACTTCCATTGCTTCAATACAAATTGCAGTGTTCACGTCGACCGATAATATAGACCCATTAACGTCCGCCTGTTTGTCAGGATGGTTCAAATCATTCATCTTTTGCGGTTTGTGGCATATCGGCGCAATGCTATTTTTGCCAACTGAAGTATAGTGATTGAGCGTTATTCATTAAAAAGGTTTTGGCATGTTTACCGCCATCCCCCCTTCTTTTGTTTTAAAAAATGCGGTTCGACATAACGACTGTGGACAGCTCTGACCGTGAAATAAGCATCAGTGAATATTTTTCGTTCAATGTATTGATAGATTGTTTAGATATTCTTCCATATATTTGGCATATATATGGCGGACATGTATATTATGTATGCGTTGAATTACAGTAACACCAGCCACCTTTCTGTACTCTGATGAAAAGTCCTAGTAATATCGAATATTGTTGGTTTATTGTTTATAGATATATTATTAAAATAGACCTATCCATACTTAATATAGGTGCATGTGTTTTCAATGTATGTTAATTTGCCATATATGTCCATTTGATCAGTGTCAGAATCACTATTAATGTCATTTAAATGTTTAAATCGTTAACGTAATATATCATTTACAATCGCCTATCAAGGTATGGTAAACAAGTTTCACGGCCCTTGTATCTTGCATTGCCGTTAAAACAATTGATGTCAGATGACGCCTGTGTACTTTCAAAATGTATATTTTTACACCATGCTTGTTGACACATGGGGACATTTAAAAATGTATATTGTTGAAGAAGTTGATGTTGGATGACGACGACCTTTAAAATGCATGTTGTTAAAACAATTGATATTTGCTTATAGCTTGGTACTTTTAGAATATTCATTTTCAAAGCGATATTGGATAGCTGTGTGGTCTTATATCAATATTATCGGTATGTCTTTTTAAAGATTCACGAGAGGGATAATATAAAAATCAAGAGAATCTCATTCATATATGCATACTTTATGCATCCTTTGTGAAATGTCTGTCAGCGAAATAAAAAGGAAACTGGGGATAGCTTATAAGCTTGAAAAGAACACAAAGAGAAAACAACGAATAAGCAATTAAATAATTAATCAAATCCAACAGAATTAATCTTATATGAGTATATACATGTAGCTCTAGCCATTTTGTGAAACGAATCGAGAGTTGTAATTTGTTCAGAAACACAGTCATTATATACGATGAATATGTATAGATATTAGACGAAATGTGTTACGATGCTATTCGTCATAACTGAAATCAACACGTTTATTGTTTATTTCGTTTCTCTAGATGATAAATGTATAAACGAGTGACAAAGCTTTACCGACAAATGACAAGCGAGCATAATGGATTGAGGCATCATCTTATGTTGACTTGAACTTATAAAACCTTTAACACATAAGTAATACCACACATACGTTTTTCTGATAGCTTGTTTGTTTGCAGACGAATACACAATAATGGAGTTATGAGTCACTGTGTATTCACCTGACCTTACGATCCCTTAAATACAGGAGTAATACCACACACATGTTTTGTCTGTTAGCATCATGTTTTTGTGTGGACTAGTTCATGCACGAGTGTATACCTTACACATGGTTGCACGCGTTCATCTGTGCAATAGAAGACGTATACACTGTGGTATTGCGTTTACGACAAAGCTAAAGTATCTCTTTTTATATACAGTTTGTTAATATATCTCTACAAAACGCTGCTCATTATTATTCGGTATAAATGTTTGATATATTTCCGACAAAATTGAACAGAATAACAACAAATGTATGTCGTCGCGAACGGAATGGTCAAGTACCAATGCGGTAATATAGATAGCTTTAAATATTCAGAGAGCAGTTTGGTTTCGATTCGTCTATTTGACCGGTGGATAAACTGATAAACTGCATTCCAGTCAAATTGAGTTATTGAGTTCAAGGTTATACGCTGTTCAATGTTTTGTGATGGCACAGTGTTACTTTTTAATTTTAATTTTATTACCAGACCTGTTAATTGACCGTATCTAACAAACTCCCTATATATCCTTATAAATACAATCATGTGATTGCTTAGTTACGTTCAAATAAAAGATTCAAACCACTCTAGTTCATCATGTTTATGTGCATGTCGATAGAAATGTCATCGAGTCTACATTTACAATATTAGGACACTCGAGGGATTATTTTCCAATTTGTCGATATTCTTGGAGAGCATGCATTTCAACAGACTACATTGTAAACGTATTTCCAATTTGGCTCAAATGTGCAACGACGACCTCATTTTTGTGTTCTCATAAAGCTGTATTAAATGCCAATTAAAGAATACAATTAGATATTTGTCAAATCTTTTAATTTTTAGTTCAGATATACTGATGGTGCTTTGTGATTTTGTTCGAATAAAAATAATTTTGGTAGCTAGTTTGAATCTTGTTTGAAACAATTTGCTAGTTTCATACATACATATAAAATTGCCCTACATCATGGCTATAAAAATCCCACCACACAGTTATGCTATGTACCTTCAGTATGAGAATAATAGTCAATGCGTTGACAATAATGATATAAGCTCTAGTATATTTACCTACAGTATGCACAATAATGTACAACTTTCTACTTATTCTATGCCAAACGTGACGATCTTAATTTAGCAGGTGTTACACAAATTTAGGTTGATGAACAAAGCCTAATAACGCAAATATTAACTTTATTATATTACCATGTCATCCGTCGTAGGAGTCACGTGAATATGGCAATTTGTATTGAAGCATTAGAAGTATTGAAGCAATAGAAATGGGAAAACAGGAAATATATTTACATTTTGTTGTCATTAAACCTATGTCTGAAGGGTTCCAAGATACGGTATAAATTATAACAAAAGGGGAAAGCTTCATCGAAAACCTTCATACCATTTAAAGTTAAGAACGCTTGTCTTTAACTGATAATGTAGTTCCAAACGAAAAAACACAACGTTAAATCTGCCAGAATATATTCCAGCTTCAATTTTCAAAACAAGAGAATAAGGAAGTGTCAATTAAACCCTAATTCGAACTCAGAACCGATAGAACTAGGACAAAACATGAACAAAGGAAAGATGAACATGGAAAACCTTAAAGTTACAGCAAAGTTTTGGGACTGATTATCCACCAGCAGAGCCAACGAAATTGTTCTTTGTTGAAACACCTAGTCGGTGCATAAAGTAAATATTTACTGCACCAATTATTTACTGCGTCAGCTATTCCGACCATTTAGAAGATATCAGAACAATGAAAATTTGTGTCTTAAGTGTGATGGAATATATGTAGAACTACAGCAAAAGGGAAAGGTGTCTGGTAATGTAATAGAACCATTAGTTTTGGCTACGAGAGAAAAAAATGTTTAGAACGGGTTTGTTTAAATAAATTCCAGTTTCAGTTTTTGCATCGACTTTACATTCCATTTGTGTCCCTCTCTGTTGATGCGGTGTTATTTATTTCATATATTAATTTTCATTCAACCTCAAGTGAGGCGATGATTCGTTAAGATTCTTATCATGACTAAACTTATTTACCGTTAGAAATGTCAACGTATAGAGTAAGTATCCAACCATGACATGACTTTAAGATATTATAAAATGCTATTTTTCACAAGAAAGTCTTACCATTTTAATTTTTCATTGCTCCCTTTAATTCGGTTAAAGGTTTTATATCTAAATACATGAACATATTTATAGGATATTGTACAGTTTTTCATTAGGTAAGTCACAGATGGAAAGTCGGGAATTATTAAGTAAAAATCCTTCATGAAGTTCGTATCTTGGCAATCAAAGGCTATGCACCTAAATTCACATGAAGACATCTCCTTAGAGCACTGCGATTTCCACTGACTGTGAGTGTCTAGCTATAACAAACTTGGCGTTGTCTATGTTCGCCTCTCAAACAATCTATTCAAAATAGGTAATGTTTATATTATTACTTTTTGCTTAAATATAATAATTATTTGGCTCGGAAAATTTGACGTTCACAGAGGTATGATCAGCAGCTGGTGCTGTCACAAAATCCGATAGATTTGATAATAGTCAGTGAATATTTGGTACACATTGGAAATCAATTTAGCCTTAACATGTCCAATGCAATATATGTCAATATAATTGTTAATGATGGTGTGTTTTCAGCTTACTTCCTCACCGTATATATAAATATAATATAACGCTTTATATTGTATATTAATATCATTGTAATTTGGAATACAAAAATACATTTCATAACAAATATAAGAAACAATGGATAAAACACGTGGATCCGTGGCTCTCGTTCATTTCATTGTGGATAGCATCACTTTAAAACGCCTGAAAAATTAAACATACATTAAGTATTTGATGGAGTCAGCAAACGCAAATTTCAAATTTATACAATAATTTTCTTTTTAAAATATTAAATCCAAAAATGACCCTCCCATTTGTAACTTTTGTCTTTCCTTTTTTACAAATACAGTTAATAAATTGTCCTTTTGTGAGTGTTTCTTAAATGTCATATTTGTAGATGTATATGTTCAGTAAATTTGCAATAGCCAACACCTAATATTAAGTAGCATATTTAAAACATAAGTTTTGTCGGTGAGCGGGCAGGAATTAGCACTTTCGAGTCATTGTTGAAATGTTGCTGATTGATAGATTCCTACTTATCTGGATTTGGATAACAAATTGCAATGTGGCTGGATTTGATTTAAATATAGACGTCGAACTGGGAGTGTAAACGGACAATATGATAGATACATGTAATGATGCTTCATTTAAAAGGACAGAAAAAATAAATCATGCTGTTTTACTTTTTTACAATAATTAATAAAAAAAAAACACCACCCTGCAGATTTTTACATAAGCGACACATAATCACATTAAAAGTATAACAAGTGTATATCGCACTCAAAATGGCAAATGAAATGTCAATATTATTTTCAGACAGTTTTTCTAAATGTTCAAGTTGTTTTGGTCTTTATGCCTCTACATATAGTTTAACCTCTGTTTCCCAATCAACATTTAACCAGTAATATTAATTCATATGAATTGTGATGTTGACACATTAAGGCATACGCTTCATACAGACTAATAAAATATAATAAAGTTATACAAGTTTCTCCCTTCACTGATGTGTCTCCAATCCATCAATGATTTATCTATTCCAAACTGATAAGTGTCCCATCCTTAATTACTGATTCTCTTATTCTTTATTGATATGTCTCCCATCCTCCACTGATGTGTCTCCCATCCTCCTTTGATGTGTCTCCCACCCTCCACTGATGTCTCCCACCCTCCATTGATGTGTCTCCCACCCTCCACTGATGTGTCTCTGACCCTTGAATTATGTGTATTCGCCCACCACTGATGTGTCTCCCATCCTCCACTGATGTGTCTCCCACCCTCCACTGATGTGTCTCCCACCCTCCACTGAAGTGTATCCGACCCTTAAAGTATGTTTATTGACCCACCGCTGATGTGTCTCCCAACCTCAACTGATGTGTCTCCCAACTTCCACTGATGTGTCTCCCACCCTCCACTGAGGAGTCTCCCGCCCACCTCTAATGTGTCTTCGACCCTTGAACTATAGGTGAACGCCTTACACTGATGTGTCTCCCACCCTCCACTGATGTGTCTCCCACCCTCCACTGATGTGTCTCCCACCCTCCACTGATGTGTGTCCCACCCTCCACTTATGTGTCTACCAACCACCACTGATCTTACTAACTTCGCTTTTATATAGTTTTAATATATCCTTGGTAGACGTCTGTTACTGTCACGTGAACCCTTACTAACTATTATATATCCTTGGTAGATTGCCGTTTTTTACACCCGCACTCTTACTAACAACAATATAATTTAACTACTATAAATCCCTGGAAGACGTCCGTTATTTACATGTCATCCCTTCCTAACTACACTATAATACAACTTTGAAATATCCTGGATAGACTGGCATTACTTACACGAAAACCCGTACTAACTCACTTCAATACAACTAAATAAATCTAAGGAAGACGGTCGTTGTTTATACTTGAACCCGTACTATACCTGGATATTTGACAGGATTGGTCTCCCAACGTCATTGAATTGCGACCACATTGGCACGGGTAGGGGAGCCATTAATGGTATACCTGCTGAGAACACGCCGCCGGTATTCGTTACTCCCTGTGCCCTTACAGCTGCTGCTGCTCCAGCTTCCGCTGCTCCTGCTCCTGTCCTTACCATAGGAGTTCCAATATTTCCTCCTCCTGCTTGATTGCGAATAGATGGCACCCTGCTGAATCCAAACATACGTGTTCCCTCTGAACGCATTGGCAATGTAAATGGTGCAAAATTTGGAGCCCGAAAAGCTGGTGTAGTTTGGAACGAAACGGGTATCGACGTACGACCAGGCATTGCCGGTGCGTCAAAACTCAATGGTGTCAACGGAGTGACGGTGATTGGAGTTCGGCCCGTCATCATCGAAGATTGTCGAATTTGTGCACGTGGAGGTGGCCGGGGATTAAGTGATGGAGTATCATTAATTATAATTTGCGGAAGAACAGTGACAGATGTTTTGGGTTCATTGAAAAATGTACTCGATTGGACGGAAGGACCTGCAAATGTTGAAAAATGGGGGGAAAGGGATCCGGAATTTTGTGAAAAGCGTGATACTTGTGGTACTGCAAAGGTTTGAGGCACAGAATCAAAAATTACACGAGGTGGTTCGGTGGAGGTAAATGTCTGGGCCGACGAAATATCCAGTGGGTTTTGAAACGGCATCGCAAGAGGAAAAGGTGGAACTGTTTGCACGTTTACAGATGTTGAAGGAAATGAGGCCGAGGAAAAATCAGAACCCGAACCAACAAAAGGAGCTGTGAGGAATGTTTGATCAGACGGAGGATAAAATGATGTTTGAAACATTTCAGGAGACCGGAAGAAAAACGTCGGTCGTCTTTCCGTTCTTAATCGAGCAGCAAAATTTGACGTCGGTAAATATGACATAGACGGTGGTCGTTCAAAATTCATTGGTGGAAATGTCAAAGATTGGGCGGAGGCAGGTACCATTCCTGATGACCTTTGAATGGCATTGAAAGTGCGTTTTGGTTGATTTGCCAGTGTTGACATGAAAGGTTTATTAGTGAGACGCGGTTTACTGCTAGATAGTCGCATTGTGTTTCCAGCTCTAGCCGGAGAAAACATGACTCTACTCATTCGTGGAGGTAATGGAGGTTGTCTTGCCACAGTTGCGAAGAAACCATTGGTGCCTATTTGGTCAGTTGACGTTGACGTTGATGTTGATGGATTTAGGTTATTGTTAACAATAGAGCTAGCAAATAAACTAGCACCACCATCTACCTGTGTAGACACTGTAGGCTCACTATTAGAGCCACTTGCGACCTGAGTGTTGGTGTTAAATGAACGTACCCCGCCAACTGTTCCAGATTTCCCAACTTCACTGGGCGCCTGTGGGTTGGCAAAACTATCCTTGAAGACAACGCCTTGTGAATCGGCTTCGATAGCATTATTGGTTACATCGGCTGTTGCAGGGGGTAAATCTGGCAAGTCATCACCAAGCAAGGAACCAGGTATAGAGGGTATTTCTGTGTCCAGGGGGTTCACCCCTTCGGGTGGTAAAGCCCTCACCAACGGAATTACGCATTGTAAACACCCGATAATACATATCACCTCAATTGTCCTAGTCATTAATTGCATGGTGATCATCCTGAAACAGAAAGAAACAAAGTAAACTAGAATATATATATAAAAAGGTGAAAACGCTAGGGAGGTATTATAAATAAGAAACTGTTATCATTTGTTTTTATATTTAACCATCACAAGGACTTTTGAATGTTTTTTTGATTTACTATAAATATTTGTGACCAGGGAACCTCTAAAGAGGTGAAAGCGTTAGGAAGGTACTAAGAAACTCTTGTCATTTGATTTTTTAAATATTTAACCATTACTAGGACTTTGAATATTTTTTCGCTATATAAAGTCATTATACTTTAGTTCATCAATTGTCAATGTACATGTTTCAGCGGTATTCTACTTTAAGCGCTTTAAGTGCTCTCAATATCACGCTAATTTATGACTGTGCCAATTGAAGTTTCTGAATAATATTTCTTAAAGCATATATTTTAAATGTACCATTTCATCAATGCCCTTAATGGTTAAAATTCGATAATACGCTAAAATTTGAGTCCGCTAAAAGAAGTGCTTTTACAGTAACAAGGACCAAATTCATTTGAACTCTAAGTCAACTACAAAAAGGCAAAATATAAAACCTTCCCAGATAACATTCCACAAACAGGGTTTCTTGTCTATAAATGTTGAACTTGAAAACGATTTAAGAAAATAACCTTGCGTATCATGTGATAACGTGCGATGTAAATTAAAACAAAATGTCAAAAGAAACAGCATTACTTTACAAATAATAGCTTAATACTCCGTTGAATTGTAACGAAACCTCCCCGTTGCATGATAATAATCATTCATTAAATGGGACCAGTATCCATATTCTTTGCATGGCATTTATCAAGGTTCCCACATACCGCGAGATAAAAACAATGACGTTGTACTCTCGAACGTTAGAATTACTATAGCAGACATTTTAAAGGTCCAAACGTTTACAAACTTTAGCATTTATTAAAAAAATATTTAAGATTTTTGTTTCGTTTTAAAATATATCGAATAAATAATGTAAAAGATTCAAGAATGGGTATGTTGTACCAGTGAAAATGCTTCAATTAATGGAAAATTAAAATGTCTAAGCTTTTTGGAGTTGCTAGAAAATATCCTTTCAATTCAACAATATCTAAAATAAAATTAAAGTCTTAAAAAAGATATATAATTAGTAAGTGAATTGTTACATGAAAATCATTCTAATGACATTAAATAGTGGGTACTTAACGTGAGTCGGTTACAATCAGCTAGAAGCCGAATAAGACTACTTCCACTAACCTGGGAGTCGGCCTGTCCGCAGCAGCTTAGCTAGAGTTACAGTAAACAGCTCGTATGGTTCTTTATACGTCCACCCCAGCACCTCAGCATATCAGTAGACGAGAACGGAATTTCCTCACCTAATCGGTACGTCTGGTTCATCAATTATGCTATTGTAATTGAAACGAAACATCCGACCTTTAACCATTAACGAGGGGTGTGAAGCGGTCAGATAATACTTCATCAACCGAGCGTAGTTTACTTTTTAAATGTTGATGTAAACAACTTTTTTTCTGTTCTGCTTGCTTGGGTTATACATCTATAGTGACAGGCGCGTGACCTTTCATGTCACATGCAGGCTGGTTTTGTTCGGCATGGACTTCCTGCTGATAACACAACGCTATCATGACCACTTTGTTTTGATCATTATTATTAAACGCTTGATATTATTTACTATCCAATCCAAAAGTATTTTTCTCTTTTTATTCCTATTCGTCGATACAAAGTTGAAGAAGTATCTTTGTATCTTATTTTTCATAAAATATCTTAACAAACATCACTGATCTAGTATTTGGTTCAAACGCAGTCGAGTTATCTGGTGTTTGTCTGAACACTGTTCTTGTGTGTAGAAAAAATGTTAAAAATAAAAACAAATATTTGGGTAAAGTATGAAAACGCTAACTCGATTCGATTTCAAAAACACATCATGAACTTAATGTTAAACAGAGACGCTGTCCTAACAGCACTATTACTACATAAACAGGTGTACATACAAACAGGACGATATATTTACCCATCATCTTGTCGCAAAAGGAATAAAAGGATTACATTTCGTCGTCATTTATTTATCAATAAGAACAGTTAACGGTTATATAATCTCATACACAAAAGGACAAAAACAACAAGAAAATACCGAAGTGTCAATAAAATATAATCTCGAACCCAAAATCGATACAACTAGAGCAGAATATGAACAAAGGATAGATTTACATGGAGACCATTTGAAAATGAAAAAAAGGAATAAGACCAGATGTTCCGGAAGGGTAAACGTTCTCTGCTTCATCAAAGGCACCCGCCGTGTAAATCTAATTTTAAATCAGAACGTCATCTCGGAGACACAACAGGAATAGTGGAGAAAAAACAACAAGAACGATGAGTTCCATCTACGTAATCAAAAGTATCAGAACGCCATCTCCTACAATGTTTGTGAACATGAAAGAGAGGCTTCATGACATCAGATATGAAATGTAAGGTTCGCAGAGCAAGAATACCAAAATTGTATTTACAACAACGGTAACCTTTTCTGACCACAGTTGGTTGAATCATAATCTCAAAGCGGTGTTGTTTTTTAACATGTATACGATGTTTAATAACACTCACATACAATGATGATGCTGAAATAGAATAGTAAAAGGGAATTAGTCAAGACATCTACAAGAGATAATGTTTGTAAACGACGTGACAATTTAGTAAGTAATGAAGTCTTAAGTTCGATAACACCAAAATATGTTTTAAGTAACGTTGTCATTGGTTTTGAAATTAGAAGGTGAAACCAATAAACTCGTACAAGAGGTGATGTTTTTGAAAACATGTGTGTGAGGTTTCGTGACAATCGGTCGGACAATATATGAGCGAAGTCTGCAATATCCGACAACATAAGGTAAATTCTACTTACCACATTACAGCCTGTGTTTTAGTCTTTAGAACAGTTGTTTCGATGTAGATTGCTGTCTACATCACACAGGAATGATTGTTTTTTCCCCAGACATTTTTCAGCAGTAGAAAATACTCTAAAGGTTCTGCTCTTCTAAGGTTTAAATCACGTACAAATTTCATTTTGATCTGGTGTAACCTGATATTATTGGATTTAACTAATTATGATTAATTTTAAAAGCATTTTGAAAATGTGAATTTCTTACGCTCCAAGCAACGTCAAAATATCACATTTTTTGACGCTTGATTAATCGCTTGTCATTGCGTCACCATTTTTAGACGTAGTAAGGTGTTTTTCAGTCGTACAAGTTTTTAATTTTCAATTTTATAAAAATAATATGAAATAAAGTAGAAAACTATACAATTTTGATATTTAGAGACATGCCTATCAAGAATTGTATATAATTATATAGTTAAAATGTATGCTCAATAACAATTGCAATTTATTTACTCGTGCACTAACTTTTCTAATGAAGCTTCATATATATATATCTAAATTAAATATTATAAATGTCACAATTTGAATTTACTACTGTATCAAGAAATGTTATGACGCTTTCTACCAAGCAACTAAATGATAGGCATAATTTTGAGCCAATACTGAGTACTGAAAACAAAGTAGGAAATTATACAATTTTGATATTTTAATGCTCATTTATATCAGCTGAAGAAGCCCATTTGTTTTTTTTATAATGCAAAATTTGAAAAATTAGGTAAAAAACATAACGGCAAAAAAAAAAAGTATAGCGACACCCTCTTTCACTGTTGTAAAGAGATAAACGCATTTTCTTTTAATCCAGTGAATATTTAATTATATCAGTGATCAGATCTGTTTGTATTTAACCGTTAAAACAGCAAAAACTGTAGAAAAAATGAGGATTTGTAAATTTAGATATAAGGGGTAGGGGTAACCTTTACTGTTTTCCTGAGGCAAATATCATTTGTGCACACGTCCATAGATTTCTTATAACTCATTTGAAAGATAATATATATGAATTTGGTCACTTTTCGGTCTAAGTGGTAAATTTCTCGAAAACTCTCATAAATAGTAAAATTCGTATGTTTGACCAATCTGACTAAACAAACGACACACGGTCGTATACATTTTTTTGTGCATTTTCTTATATTGTCCATTTTGAAATAAGATATGTCTCAAAAAAGGCTAATAAGTAGAAAATTTTGACTTTTCACAAGATCTGGTAATGGTGAACTGAATTGATGACGCATTTCTTTTGTGATATGGTATAGCTGCGCGAAGAGATCACGGAAACTGTAGTCGTTTTCATGGCCTGGTCTTAATTTGTTTAAATGATCAAATGTCTGTTTCCTGTCTTCGATCAATGGTGACATACATACTTCTCGCGAGTTTGATGGTGGTTTAAGTGTTTGATCGTACATTGAAATCCTAGTCCGTGACGACCTGAAAACTTTAAATGTTAAACTTAAATGTTTTGAGTCTGATTTACATCTGCTTGAAAAAAAAGTGTATATACAAGTAACATCTATCATTTTCTTAAACGTCTGAGTTGCTTGGACGTAAACATACAAACAAACCAAACCAAGCTTTGTCCTGAAACATGTGGTGTTATTCTCAAACTGGCAAGATCTGCATACATTCTCTGTTAGACGTTTGCATAAAACATAAATCCTAGCAAACAGTTTGAATCAAATAGAATGTATTATAAAAATTAGATCATGTCCACGCCGAAGTATTTTAGAGGTATAATGGACTTGATGTTTTCCGACTAAGACTAAGACTTTTTCTCGTTGTGTGTGAATTTTGTGCGAGGTGAGGGGAGGAGGAAATAAAACTTAACTATAAAATTTATTTTCGTATAAAATTGACTACTTTTTATTTCAGGTGTTAGGCTTTCCAAATGAACAGACATGCGCAAGAGGTACAATGTTGGTCGGCTTGTCTCCTTGGTAATAGAATTACAAAGATAGGAAAACAAAAAACAGTAAGGGTTGAAATGTATGCTTTAAGGGATAAGAAAAGACTACAACAGCAAATGAAGAGTCAGCAAATTTAAGGGCGTGACATCATGATTCCGCCGAATAAGAGTTTCCTGTTTCCTGTACTACGTACATGTGGAAATCATCGTGATAGATGTCACCCGACTACTAAAGGATTGGGTTTTGGCAATCCATAGTCCCCCATAGGTAATGATTTTTAGGAGATATGGCCCGGACAAACTTAAACAGTAAGGTCAAAGGTCATAGGCCAAAGCATATAGGTCACAGTGAGGTCATAGTGACCTAATTTTGCACTCAGCCATCCCAAGATGCCTATGTCACTTAATCTGATTACTTCAGGTGAAATCGTAAAGAAGATATGTCCCGGACAAACATTTTCAAAAGTTAAGGGTCAGTGGTCAAGTCATACGTCACAGTGACCTTTTTCTTTCACGCTGCACTCCGCCACCCCAAGATGTCCTTGTGTACCAAACATGGTTACTCCAGGTGAAAAGTACAGAAGATATGCCCCGGACAATATTTTTCTAAAGTTAAGGTCATAGGTCAAAGACATGTTACAGTCAGGTCATAGTGACCTTCTTCTTACACTCTGAACTCCGCCATCCCATGATGTCCTTGAACACTTAATACGGTTTCTCTAAATGAAATAGTATAGAAAGGTACCAAACCAAAAGGGTAAGTGTCTTTTGCTGTATCAACTACTTCTACATGTTAATAAAGATAAAAGACAAGCACTGTCATATCCCCAAAGTGAAAGTCGGGCTTGTGACAAAACCACAAGGAACACAAATGGACGAAATCAACTTATATATCTAACAAAGAAACATAACATTTACCAGCGAGATCATCATGGCGACCAGAAATCATGTGCTCACGATATGATAACCACATTTTATATATGATATGGCGTTAGGAGATTATGATGTGATGTAACGCCATCATTCCTATTAATAACCTAAAACTGTTGTAAGGTGAGCAGCGCCTGATCCAAACTTAATTACTACCAACATACCTATGATGTAGGTATACATTTTTTATTGCACTCATAGAAATACCATAAAAAGAATTACTAGCCAACACGATTAGATAGTGATGCATGGCGATTGCTTTAAGTCCGTTTGATGTTATCAGGACAGAGGTGAAATCACATACAGTTACGTAAAACATTGTAATATGACTTAATTATATAACAAATGCTTCGGTTCGTAAATTGGACAGACATGTTTTTTTTTTCAATCAGAATAACATATATCATACCTACAAAGGTAACGAACTATCGGTCATTGCGTCTAACCACCAGAGCATTGTAATGTACGATCGCTGGCGGGACGGGAGGTGATGACGGACGCTATACAACAAAGGCATCCATCACTGACGGCCAGTCAACCATACCGGACGTCAGGGAAATAGCCTCCTCAACGTGCGTCCCACCAGTATCATGTGACTAAGTCTGACGTCAACACCTCCAAATCAATAAGAAATGGAGGTGTAAAAATTACAATCACAGTTTGTTGGAGGTAAATTCGGCCAATCAGAATTTAAAAGTGTTATGAAAAGATAACACCATATATCAATGATAAACTTTTTTTAACCCGAATTCCATTGGCCTCGTATTTCTTAAAATCCTTTGCTTTTGTGACAATATTAAATTTTACTATTAATTGAATAATTTGAAAAATTTGGTGTTGGCTATTAGTGTTTTAACCAATATGTCATGTTAATACATTTTCTTGTATATAGAGGAATATTAAGATCATTGCTTTTCGTGATGTACCTTTTTTTTTACCATATCCAGTCATGTAAGAAAAACTTAACCAGTTAAGATTAGTGTGCTCGCTACTGTGATTTCACAAGGGGTGACCCTAATCCGTATGACATTACATTTACAAAAAGGGAGTCACTCCGGCGGGTTAATATTCTCGTTATTGTGATTTCACAAGGGGTGATCCTAATCCGTATGACATTACATTTACAAAAAGGGAGTCACTCCGGCGGATTATTTATTTATTTATACTCGTTTATGAAAATGAAGTGATTCTATGAATTAAATGTTTATCTGCCAACTACATTAGGTAATATGATACGATAAAGCAAGGTGAATAACACATAAGCCATGTAGTAAAACAATTATATTTAGTATGTTCGGTGCGATGTTGCTATTGAGGGTATACATAATTTATTTATTTATTTTACTTGATCACGGGAAATGTTTTAGAAAACTGCGGAATGGCGATGGTCGATGGGCATTGAGGAGGTGGTAAATGACTACTAGAGAAAGCACACACTCCTTCATACGTAATGGAACTTGATTACAGATTTAGAAAAAGCAGAGGTCTTATCACGCAAAAAGGTTTCACGTGTAATCAGTATGATCCCAAAATTTTGGCATACCAATCAGAAACGTAATTTTGTGATGCGAGAAATGAAAGTGGGATCTATTTTAGACGCCAAGAGCTTTCCCCTCTATTTCTTAACATAGCATCCTTTAGAGGGATGTTTTAGTTTTGATCGAAATTTCTAAACCGTCTTATATTGCCCCCTACACATCAGGATAGATCATAACATATGTTGTGCTTGGTCGATCATCCTCGATACTTAAGGGGTAATCGATATACAAAACGTTTAACTTCGCTTCCGTAGGTAGACGTCTATAGTCAGTTCGATCTCGGTCACAAAAAGTAATTAATGAAACTTTGAATTAATTGATATAAAATTGAAAAATATATAAAAATGCAATGAGTCTTACAGCTTTCGACTATTTAGTAAAATACCTATTTTAATGGTATATGGTTATATAGGATAAGGCAAGATCATAAATGAGGTAGGTTGTCAGAGCAATAAGAATTTTGTTTGATGGAACAGTTATCCGGACACAATTAAATTTGCATCTCGTATATATATCTGTCGCAATATGGTAACAACTCTATAATTGGTCATTGTCAGGCTTTTATTTTTAAATCAGGGCAGATAAAACATCTGCAACTTAAGTTAATATGACGTGCTAGAAGAGCTAGATTGTGGTCCAAAATATTATCAGTCATAATCATTCGCTTGACGGCGCCAGGGTCTACGAGGGAACTGGGAAGAGTTTTGCGAGATCTTTGTTCGTTTCCAGGTTAAAGGAGCTTACTTGCTGTTTTGGATTAATCAAAATGCCCTGGTTTCTCCATGAAACTCCTCCGTCGACATAAACAGGTGGCAGAACGTCCTGTGAGAAACCTCCATCAACCACAACTGGAGTTTTACCACTTTTGTCACGATTTTTAAATGCCTCCAGGATCCTTTTGCTTAAAGAGTTTTGATCGAGGCGTTCTAAACGGCGATTGGCATTGCTAAAATGGCGTCTGGCTGCAGGAGGTAAAACCTGGTTGTTGCCCGTATTTGCAAATCGAGGTCCTACGGTTGAAGGAGACCTTGCGAGAAACTCATTTATTTGTCTCAACTTCTCTTGTGCTTCTCGTCTAATTTCCTCGTCAGATCTGGATCTAAACCGGAAATTGGATGACGCCTGATTAACGTTTATGTTAGCAGAACTCTCGGAATTTGAAGTGTGTCCTGTCTGTTTTGGAACATCCGGTTGGCTTTGGGATGGGTTAGATGTCTCCACTATACTGTTCGTTTGTGAACTCTGCTGGATAGGCCTCTGGTTAGTGTTTTGAGCCCTTCTCCCTAAAATAAAGTCGACGAGCCTTTGGGTTGCGCTGTTTGATACTACAGGCCTTCTTGCATGTGTTGTCGATGGGTTTACCTGAGGTACGACATTATTCCTTCTGGATATTATGGGATTAGGACGATTTGTCCCCAACAATGACGGATGATTTAGACTTGACCCTGTAAAGCGCCGCCCAAAGTTGAAACCGACAGGATTGTGCCCCCTGCTAAACTGAAGACGATTTTGTGGGATAAATGGAAGGGTTGATCGGCGAATTACAGAGTCTATTGGAGCTGGACGATTGAAGGCAAATCCTGGAGTCATCCGACCAGACTGGGTCGGAAACATCATCAGCAGACCATTTGAGTTCATCCAACCGTTTGCTCCTATTCTAGATGGGGAAAACCCCGTTCTAAATCCTCCTAGATTATTTGTAAATTGGCTTGTTTGAATCGAGGGCCTGTCAGATGAACGAAAGTTATTCGGTAATGAATTGGGGATTCTAAATTGTTGTGCAGATCTTTGAGGTTGTATCGGAGACGTTGGAACGTCGGGCGTACGAACTTGTAGGTTGTTGATTCCATCTTGAGCCCAGGAAGATCCGATAACACACAGAAAATAGACCGCCACGAGCATCTCGACTATTTCAGTGGCGCCAAGACCTAAGAATAAAAAAGGGGCAATGTATAGAGAACCACTGCTAGATAACATGATTGATGAAAACTCTGTGATGGGGTAGTATATGTAATTAATGATAAATAACAATATAAGTAATTACTCTGCGATGGGTGCTTGATAAAAGCAATAATAAATAACAAATAATCAGAGATAACTTTGTGGTAGGATGGCATATACTTCAGACCTACATAGGATGTACCGCTCAATTAATTAAATGAGCGAAAACGGGAAACTATTCTCCTTAAAAGTATTATTGAAAATGTTCACCATTTTTGGACTCGGCATCCTACAAGAAAAAAGATATCCTCATGTAACATTTAATTCCAATGATAAAGAAACAAACTTTACAGATATTAATATGTATATGGTGATAGGATTGGGATATATAAATATTTTCAATGTTATGACCATGTGATCCAAGGAGTGGAACCAGTCTCGCTATGACTCATACTGTAAGAAAGATTGTTTGCAATTGTTTCTTCATAGTTAACACACATGGTTTTTGATGCAAACCTTCACCATTATAAGTTAGAACAAAAAGACCCCTGTTACCTTTTAAGTGGAAAAGAGTAATTTATACAAGGAAACTCTGTAGTTCTTATCCATCTTTGATTCCTAAAATGGCCTAATATCAGCACCCTTTGTCCAACGGAAATTCAGAAAAAAAATAAGAGCTTTTGACTCGATATAGACAATGTCAAAATATAAACTCTATTTTACACAAAATATGAATAAAGTTATTTAATTTTATAAATCACTCTTGTTAGCCAATATGTTAGCGAGTGGGGGAGTATCCGGAGAAAACCAACTTGCTCGGGCGGGTGACCAACTATTTGTACATGTCCGATCGGAGAATCGAACCCCGGCCGCCTTGGTGAAAGACGAGTGCGTTATCCACTGCGCCACCCAAACACCCAAAATATATATTAGGGTGGTAGGGTTGTTACATATTATATGTATAAATTATGATGACAATTGACATCCTGGTAGTGTTGTATGAATAATAATACAAGGGATTACATTGGACTAGGGGTGTAACACTTAATGATAGATCACAAATAATCAGTGATTATCTTGGACTAGGGGTATAAAACCTAATGATATACCACAAATTATCGGTGATAACTTATGCTAGGGTTGTGCATGAGACTAAAGATAGATCCCAAGTAAAAAAAACCCCAGAGATGATAGATAATCGACCGGTAACTTATCTCTGTGGTGTACAAACATATGGTACCTAACGTACGATCGGAGGACAAATAACTGGCATTACTCAACAATCAGTCCGCAAATGCAGTTCGATGTGACTCATGACAAGGAAATGCATTTTTGACAAATCAAAGGCTAACAATTTTTGAGAAAGTGAAAAACAAAATAATCATAAAAACACAACTTACGTGAGGGTGGTGTCGAATGGTGTAAATAGGCGACAACACTGAGCTGGCTTACAGGTGATTACAGGCCACCACCGATTCGGAAGACGCACATCCTTTTGTTGATTTTTGTCTCAATTCAACACAACCTTTGATAAAGTACAAGGGGTAACACTGAGGGAGACTTGAAAAGACGGACTAAAACAATCGTTGAACGCTCAACCAGCTGAATGGTAATTGAATAAAACAAATAAATAACGTTATTGTTTTTGTTGTTTTCGTGATGTTCAATTTTGTAATGTTTGGAGAGAAAGTTTTCCCCCCAATAGCGACTCCTCATTCAACGAAACAAATAAGTCGTCTGATTGATGAGACGAAGTTTCTAATCAGCCCCCGCCGTGTTTCTCTGTCACAAGCCATCTACACAGGGAAATGTATGTACGGTAAATATCATCAATACCACACAAAACACATTGTTTTTATATATACAGTATGTAAGATAGCAATGATAATCTAGATATAGACGATGACTCAACATATAACGTTCTTATATAATGACATCTGTAATATATTAGATAACATTGATAATATTGATGTAGAAAGTGATTCAACACATTGGTTGTATATAGCGATATGTTAAATAGCAATTATAATCTAGATATAAGTAATGACTCGACACATAATCTTCTCATATAATAAAATCTGCAATATGTTAGATAGCAATGATAATATTGATATAGAAAGTGATTCAACACATTGGTTGTATATAGCTATATGTTAAATAGCAATTATAATCTAGATATAAGTAATGACACGACACAACGTTCTCATATAATAAAATCTGCAAGATATAGGTGATGACTCGACATTTACCGTTCTTGTATAATGAAATCTGCAATATATTAGATAGCAATGATGTAGATGGTGATTTGACACCCTTTAAAAAAAGCTAAATCTAAAATATGTCATACAGTAGATAACAATAATGATCTAAAACACCTTTTATAAGCTTAATCTACAATATGATATAAGGCAATGATAATCTACATACAGGTAATGATTATACACATCGCTTTTACAAAGACAAATCTTCTACAAGATTATATGAAAATACGGATAAAAATAAGGATTCAACAATAAAACTTAATCCACAAAATCTCACACAGCAATTAAAATCTAGTTACAGATCATGGTATCACAATGAGGATTAAGCTAAAAGGTGAATTTTAATAATTGGTTTCAATTTAAATTAACAACGGCATTAATTAACAGCTATACATATCAAAGCACACTAAAACGCCCTTGTTTTTTTATCAGCTTCTGATTGGACAATTCGGGGGTACTGAACAATTACAAGTAACATGATTATGGAGGATGTGAAAATGAAAGTACAACTTGGGTCGTTCGGAACATTAATCATTGAAGACGTGTTAAAACTGATTCATTTAATTAAACACTATCTCAAATGTCATCTAGTTATAATATCAAGTACATAGCTAAAATAGAGAGACAGATATTATGATACACAAGTAGAACAAAAGAAATTCCCGATCCATATTTCTTTCGTATTTAATACAATTATATGTCTACATTATGTAATAACTCCATTCGTAGAGGGGACTTGTTCGTGAGTGATAAATGTAAATTCAAACGTGATACTTATTATAAACAGACGCTGGATAACTCCCATTAGTAAGCATTTTCAAAACTGGTTATAACACAATGTGAAATATATCTTTACAAAAAATCAAACAATATGCATGTTTTAATTCATGAAACATGTAATCAGCTATTCGTCGCCCTGCGACTAATTTTTTTAAAATCAAAAGCAGCACAGAATGAACCTTGATATTAATCAAATAACATACATATCGTCTGTCTCGTGTCTTCAGAACTACATAGATACTTGATGGGAAGTTCTTTGTACACAACCAATAACATTTTCTATGTGACGTTTCGATGACTAGTACGATATGTACACTGTCACCTTCATCAGACAAATGACAAATGAAGCGTATGGACCACTCGTACACATTTTACACCTTTGTGTGCATACGCTTCATTTGTCATTTGTCTGATGAATGTGACAGTGTACATATCGTACTTGTCATCGAAACGTCACATAGAAAATTGTATTGGTTGTATAAAAAGAACTTCTCAGAATCCATGCTTACCAACCTGAAGAAAATGTTAAGGAATACATAGATACTTATGTTACATTATCAAAGTAACAGTTAACTCATAACGAACACGGGGTAATATAAGAGACGTATACATACTACAGTATATGTATAAGGCTTTATACTTCTGGTATCATAGAGAGTAGAATTTACATCGTGATCATTGAATGTATTTGTAAAACGAAATGAGGTTTTTGCCGAGGTAATAAAATCGCTTAAATAATTACTGTTTTATGACCTTACAGATCAAATATACAATCTTGTTATTATATATATATTAGCAAAAGGGAGACGGTAACTTGATCAACTTACAAGGTGACAAGACAGAAGGAGAAAAAACATCGCAACATAGATACCATGCCAGTAGACGGGACCAGTGTGGCTAAATGCAGTCGTTATCATTTCGACAGGTAGAGTCAGGAACATTGTGACAGATACAGCTGGAAACATTAAGTCTAACATAGAAAACAACATTATGACAAAGGGACACGGAAGGATTACATTACTGTAAGTGGGCGAACTCAATGCCAAATTTTAATGCGGATAGTTTCATTGGGGGCCACTTCGAATCTGAACAAAGTTGTTTTAAATAAATAGAAATAAAAAATGTGCCAGAAAAAGTGTCTTCCTATACGTAAACAATATTCAGATAACACTGGTATAGAGGAGTCAAATGACGCCAAGGTACAGTTGACATGTAAATGACATTTAAAAAGAGTGTATTGTGTATGTTAAGTTATGTACGTAAAACTAGTAAACCATCATTCTACCAAATATATTTTTATCATTCGCTTTTATTTAACCAACTTTCAAACAACTGTGTATTGTGCAAAATGTATTTAAAATTTACATTGGAGATTTTCATTTTCTCGTTGTTTTCCTTCCTACCTATAAAACAGTGAGCCTGTTGTCAATATTAGTGTGAATGGTTGGAGTGTTTTTCCACCGTACCCAGGTTAGGGCATTTCAGCGAGATTGTACTATGAAGTAGCCCTTGACAGGCCCTTTCATCTGTGGATAAGTGTTCACATGATCACCAGGGCTTTCGTTAAAGTATCTTTTTGACTATCCAATGTTCGCTTTGACTCTTGGAATTGAAAGTACATATCTTACCTGGTTTTACTCCAAATTTAAGGAGAGAATAGCTTTTGACTTCTGATATTGCTAACTGCCAAGAGACAACTGAAAGCCCTGGTATGACCTATGCAAAACCCTTGATTAATAAACAATTCGTTACTACAAATGACCGTCATAATGACACTTGTTCATTCAACAACTTGCTCCGTAGTCTCTCTGGATATGGGGTAAGAGGATCGAGGTCAACAGTTGTGATCAGCTGCAATGTTCTTTGCTTCGACGGTTGCCTTTCTTTGCCTTTGTTTTGAGATTTGTTTCTCTCTCGAAATAACCGTGTTTACAGATTTTGATCTCCCGAAATAACCGTGTGTTTAGAGGATTTTTTTCCCTCAATTTATTTCATACTTAATATCCTTGCTCACCCGTTTCCGACATAGTCCTTGTGGTTTGGTCTCTTTCTCGTGTAGGTGTCCATTTCTTCAAACATATATCTCTCATTTTCTGAAGGTTGGTCATCTCTGAGTTTCAATTATTAAGTTAGCGGCATCACAGAAACGTTGTTTATGCGTTACTAACTGTAAATATTTGGGTAACATAAGACATGTTCATAAGCAGGTATGAAGAAATCTGGAGGAACCCGACAACGAAAAGGAGATCGCAGTGTCCGAAAAAAATATTGGAACTTTGATAACTGCATCATCACCAATAAATGTGATTTTCATCGGGAGACATCAGAACTGCTGGCTCAAAGGAGGTTTACAGACAGGACGGCATTATCAACGATTTTCCAATAAACTGAAATAGGCGAAACTCTGATTTTTGATATAGGGGTAGATATCATCCAGATAAATGCATATTACATCATGCCACATGTCTACACCAGAGAGGCAAATGTGGTTAGGTCATACTTAAAATAGTCAAAGATAAGGAAAAACCATATAGAAAATAGTTATGACATTGTTGTTTCAAAGATGTTGTGGAGAGACGTTTGTTACACCAGAGGAAAGCTGACAATACTTTGAGAAATAATACACTGGCGACACCAGAGGTAAGCTGACAATACTTGGAGAAATAATACACTGGCGACACCAGAGGTAAGCTGACAATATTTCGAGACAATTCACTGGCTACACCAGTAGAAAGTTGGCAATGCTTGGAGAGATAATGCACTGGCTACACCAGAAGAAAGCTGACAATACTTTGAGAGATAGTACCAATGCTTAGTGAGATAATTCAATGACTTCACCAGTAGAAAGTTGACAATGCTTGGAAAGATAATACACTGGCTACGACAATACTTGGAGAGATGCTCTCTTCACCAGAAGAGAAAGGGACAATACTAGGAGAGATGCCAAATACACAAGAAGAAAGCTGACAATACTTCGGAGACAAGTGCATTGTTTGGACAAATCCAGGTCTTGCCAAACTGAACACACCAAAACACTCTGCAATGTGAACTAGTGGATGAAGGCATAATATAAAGCCATTTGATGATGCCTAAATAATGTCACAAGCATGTGCAATAAACATAACAAGAGGCCCAAGGGCCTTAGCGGTCACCTGAGTTATATCATAGGTACTGGTAGCTTTATTTTATTGTTTAGATGTGATGTGGAAATCAGCATGTAAACTAAGTGAAATACAATACTTGTCATGTCATCAAAGGATAAGAATTTGAAAATATTGGTAAATGTTCCCTTTGGGGCCCCGCCCTACCCCTTGGGGATGGGTCAGGAATCCTAATTTACAAAAGTAATACTCTCATTCACCAAATATGATTCTGACTAAGTTTGAGTAATTTTCTGCTGAAAATGGATGAAATATATACCCAAAAGTGTTATTTCCCTATATAAACTGTAGTAAACTTTACCCCCTCCCCAAGGGAAAACGGATAGCTAGGGGGTCCTGAAATTGACGATTTAAATAAAGCCCCTGATGATTTTCTTTCCATGCAGAGAAAATGAATGTAGTACCTCTGAGTCTGGAGGAGAAAAATTTGGAAATATTGGTTAATTTTCCCATTGGGGCCCCACCCTGGCCCCAAGGGTTGGGGGAGGAATCTCAATTTTACAATTTGAAACCATCTTCCTCCAAGGATAATTCTCACTAAGTAAAAATAATTTCCTACAGAAAGTTGTCAAAATATACCCAAAAGTGTTATTTCCCTATATAAACTATAGTAAACTTTACCCCCTCCCCAAGGGAGGAACGAATAGCTGGGAGGTCCTGAAATTTACAATTTAAGTAAAGCCTCTGATGATCTTTCTTTCCATGCAGAGAAAATGACTGTAGTACCCCTGAGTCTGAAGAAGAAGATTTTTGAAATATTGGTTAATTTTCCCTTTGGGGCCCCGCCCTGGCCCAAGGGGTTGGGGTAGGAATCCCAATTTTACAATTTTGTAGCCTCGTCTACCAAGGATGATTCTGACCAAGTTTGAAAAAAATCCATCCACTGGTTCATGAGAAGAAGTTGAATATGTAAAAAGTTTACGCACGACGGACGATGAAGGACGGAAAGCGATTAGAACAGGTCACTTGAGCAAAGCTCAGGTGACCTAAAAATGCTTATCGATATCTGTATATGTTAAACTATGAGAAATCAATGGACCAAAGAAATATGTTGTTCACTGCGCGGTCAATGTAACAATGGAAAACAAATTATTTTTCTTGATACGCATATCTATTTTAATCAAAAACGTATTCAGCAACATACATTTATCCTACATTTTTTATATAGTGTTACTTGAATTGCAATACAACTTCATTTATGACTGGTGATAATACTGTTGGTAATGCGAGTACCTGGTTTAGTGGTTATATGAGGGCTGTAGGTGCTAGATGTAGGTGCACTCTACTATAAGTTTTCAACTCCATTTTCAATTTGTTAAAATTCCATCCCTAAGTTGCATATTTAGTCATATACTCATCACTATATCGATAAAAAGGCTTCAAATTTTCCTCTCCGATATATGAAACTGGTCTTTTTCATATCAATATTTTGCAAAAATAGCCAAAAAAAAGATCATTGAACAGCTAAAACTGAAAGGCTTTTGCCCATTTCCTTTCATACCACGGAAGCTGGTTTAAAGTGATTTATTCGCCCCAGGAAATTAGTTAGATCCCATCTACTTGAGTCGCATACTTTCAAATTCATTTTTGACCTAGGGATACTTTGCACAAAAAATAGCCAAAATCTGCTTCTGGTTAAATACCTATGCTTTTGCTTTGCCCCCAGAATGGACATAGCAGTCATTTATACAAAATAATCAAGTCACATGGGCTTGTTGATGTTTAATACAACATTCAGTCACAATCCTTTCTGTGGTTCTGGACTACTAGTATCAAGATGTACAGATGACGTACAGCATCACAGCAAGTCGTTTCATAATGTCAATATGTGCTTTTCCTTATAGTATGAAAAAGAACCTATCCTGATAAGGACAATATCCGTTTTTCAAACTGTCGGGTAAGAAAATTATCATTATTAAAACAGAAATCGAAGACATGTCACATTGTAACATTTTATTTGTAATTTGTTTTCATTAAATACTGCATAATGGTTATCATGCATACAAGAAGTGAATTCCAGGGCTACCTGGTATAGGCCTAGTTCTTGCCAGCACTTTCCATTTTGTTTTTAAATTTTCCTCATTTAAATCTTCAGTATTTGAGAGAACACTTGTGCATGACCAGTAGATACAACAGCCTTTGATATTATAACCTTATTAAGTATAAGTAATTCAGATCATTTTGTGTGTTTGGTGGGGGTCATAGTTCAATGACAAAATGGTAATTCTCACTACAGAGTATTCCACATTAACTCATTCACCTCTAAAATGTCATTATGAATTAATCCAACCTTTGAATTGGAAGAGTTCAAATGTGTTTTCAGGGGTGAATGCATTACTACTGCATGATTATATAATTGTGTGCAAATATATAATGTAAACCCTAATACAACAACGTATGTAACCTAGACCGTATGCTAGTCATTAGTATAACGATGACAGTTTAGAAGGGTTATTCAATCAATCATTATTATAATAATACCATGCAAAGTCAAGAGCATTTGCTTAATAGTTTTCACAATTTTCATAACAGGGACAAAGCCTACATAACAAATAGAAAACAGTCAGTTGTTATGCCTTAAACATGTTTCCGTTTTCTCTCTCTGTTCACAAAGTAGGAAGTAAAAAGTGATATGAAACGCAGGAGGAGACCAGTCATATTCTGAGGCTTCCAACTCTGTATGCAATTGAAAATTTTAATGTTTCTTATATGAAAAATGTCTATCCTTGACTATATATATAGAGCAATGGTTTAGTTACAGAACCATTATTGTCATAAAAAAATTGTGCCGAGTTCATACATTTAAAACATCAGTTTCATTCTTTCCTCAACACAATCACTTACACCAATTTACTACGAACTCTTCATGTAAAATACCCCATAGTTTATTGACTTGATTATTGCCTTTTTTGTGAACTTCACACATAAAGTTATATGATAAGTGCAATATTTGATAATCTCAAGTTCACCTCATCTGCCAGTAGACCTGTCTGTATTGATCATAGCAGCCAAGATTTTTTGTATATACAAACAACACATCAGACTTGTGTTAAACACAGCATCAATGGTCTGTTTTATACACAAACAACACATCGGCCTGTTGTACTGGACACACCTGCGAAGACCTTTATACTGGTACCAAGTCACTAAGTCCTACTGCCTCTAGTCATCAGCTGCACACTTCCACCATGACAGACTCTGTCTTGTTTGACGTCTCCTCCCGACAGGTCACATGGAGGGAACCCTCCCTAAAATACACAGAAGTTAAACCATAGAAATTCACCTCCTTGTACATTTTGTCACTACACTGTTATATAACATTCCTAGGTTTTGCCACTTCGGCCTTGCACCAATGACCCACTGGCCCTGCAGGTCTGGTTTTATTCAGTCTGATGTCCTACCAACAGCGAAGTCATTTAAGGAGTGCTAGTGATTGTAGATGATCCGATGGGTTAACCACTCGGCCACCACAGCCCACTGTTCCTTGCCAAATCAAGATTCATCCATGCAAGTTTTTGACTAATACAATGTATCAAACATTTAACTCATAATCTTCACAATGACTCTCTTCTTACTATGCACGTTAAATAGTTTACGAAAAAAATACAATTAGAGTCACGTTACTCATGATCAACACATAAAAAGAAATCCCAATTTTTACTGTACATGACAGGAGTTAACTTCATCTAAGTAAAACCAATAATCCTTATCTACAATACAAATGTAGAAACAATTTTTACAGACTTTGTTTTAATGCTTCAACAAGAAAAATATAGTCGTTTTTCCTGATAACAAAAATTGACTCACCTTCTTAGATGGAAGGTTACTAATACTTTAGCTGCTTCTGGTAAGTCTCTCATCACAAGCTGTAGAGAAAAGGAACACATATATTTATTCATATAGCATCTATGATGGTATGGTGGCCTTTTTATCCAGATTTGCCAGGATTTGAACTTGAAGCTGGCACAACTAGGCATTAAGGAGATAAGGTATACTGTGTTTCTTGCCATGCATAATCCCCATTGTTAGAAGTTGTGCATGTTACAATTTGTAGTTTGAGAAATAGCGATGACAACAATTATTTCCAAACTGACTGACAGATGGATGGAAGCCTGACCACAGACGAAAAGCTTTTCGAACAACCCACTATCTGATAATATGGCTAAATAAGGAAACAGAGACCTTGAAATATGTTGGCAGTATGCAATATCTCCAATGAAATATGGGCGATCTTATTAAGGTTTTGCTTTACAAAAATCCAAAAGTTAGCATGATATGCTAAAATCTTTAAATAATATGCAATATTTGACAGTTTCACTTCAGTGATTGCCTGCTTAACAAATCATGTGTAAATTTGTGTAAATCCAGATTTTGGATATATGTAACTGTTCACACATAAAACTTTCTAAACAGGAGCCTAGAACAAACTAAACCGTGGACTTCATCTGTCCTTACTGACCTTAGCAAGGTCATCTGCAGTGTCCGGCTGTTGAAGGTCACCACACTCACACAGATCCATCTGGAGGGAGGTCTGATGTTCCCCCAAAATCACAGTCTCATGTTTACGGGATGGCAGTGGTGTCAGGGATGGGAACACAGGCTGCAGGTTTGTCGCCCCATTGCTACATGACTAAATAAATGCACAAATTCCATATCAATTTGGTTGAAATAGAGTTGTGTAAGTAAATATTATTAATACACTTCTGTAACATCTAATACCATTTGATCTTTAAAACTAAAACATTTTTGTCTCTTTTTGTTTAAAATATCCAATATGTTCAAGTCTACTTATGTTTTGTACACAATTTAAATGAAAAAAACTACATGGCAAGAAAAGATATAGAAACTTACCCGTAAACACACTGCTTTAGACAAGCATTCTATTTCATTGTTTTCTGTGTTCTCTTTTACCTCTGTGGCATCACAGCCTGTTAGTATACCAGCCTACAAACAATACAGGAAAATACTCTATATCGGAAAATGTTCCACACATTAATTTTCGTCCTTTTCACACCTTTGTCAATACTTAAACTTTTACCCTTTTCACACCTTTGTAACGAGGGCGACTTTGTCTTTGGTTTGTTTGTGTTTTATGTCCTATTAATAGCTATGTTTATTTAAGGAGGTTTTGGTGGTGGAAGAAAGCCGGAGTTCCCAGAGAAAAACCACCGACCTGGAGACAGTACTTGGTGACTGCCCGAAGTAGGCCTCGAATCCGCGACCCAGTGGTGGATGGCTAGTGGAAGCAGAATGTCAGACGCCTTAACCACTTGGCCACCGACTTTGTCATGACAGCAAATGTTAGTAAAGAGTTTAGCATACACAGTAATCATTTCAATTTAAAGAGCAGTATCAATGCCTAGAGAATATATACATTTTTGTATATTCAGATATGCAGTTATTAAAAATTTATAAAATTTACTAAAAAATACTTTCAAAACAAATTATGATATAAAACAAAGTCAATAATTATCATATCATAATCAGTTGTACAGCCCCCAAACATGCATACCAATTATACAAAATACAACTACATGCATAAACAAAAGCATATTACGGGTGAATGATTTCTAATTACCCAGGTTGATGTTTGACTCTATCGTATTGTGAAATGAAATTCAAACTTTATATAAGTTCCCTATTAATGATTAATGTTTCACATCTGAAGGAAACAGTAGCCTGAAAAAACACTTTCTTGTGCCAGCAAAAATGGTTGTCTTCTTCACTTGGTAAAATAGTTTGTATAAATGTAAATATTTAATGATGACTTAATAAAAGATTTTATCAACTATGGTAGATGTCATTGCAAAATGAGAAAACTAGCCCAAACTTCATATGCAATCCTCTCCCATATATAGTATCAGGCCTTTAGCTAAAAAACAATATAGATAAACCACAACAGGATGAGACAGACTGATCATCCCCTGTTTCAACACCATGATTTATTTTCTGTCCTGTGGGTACATTAAATGTCTGTAATCTTAAGTGACTCGATTGCCCTACCTGTTTTGCTGCGCCGATCGCTATAATTTCGTCTGGGGGAATGGAGCTTAGAACTTCAGCAGATTTGATATAGCCTTTAATGGTTTTCTGAACCAGAGGCATTTTTGCCCCACCGCCACAAACTATCACCTATTGAAAGAGATAAATGTCTTATTTATTTTTCATCATAACATTGAGAAATAATTGATGGAAGGGAAATAACTCTTCTCATGTTTAAAAAAAAAGTTAATATGATTTCTTTCCTTGAAGAATACATTGACAATATGGATATGTTTGAATTGAAATTGAATTAACAAAACAAGTTATATAGATAAAATATTGAAAACATATTCTCAGACAAATCTGATTAATTTATATGTAACATGTATTATTTCAATATGTTTAAAGGAGCTTGCCTTGTCTACTTGGTCAGTGGATATACCGGCATCACTACAGGCTGCATCTATAAGGCTGGTACACTGCTGCATCAGGAATCCTACCTGGTTCTCTAACCTCGCCCTAAATACACAGGTGATACTTCAAAATGACACATTTAATTGAGGTACAAAATAAGATGTTTTCTGTATAGACACATCTGTATTAAACTAAAATCACTTTGTATAAATCATGGTAGCATGTGTCCCTCACACACTCCTGTTTGTAGTTTCACTTTGTTAAGTTGGACACCAATCATGTCAGGTGTAATTACCTCTCCAATGACCATGTTTGGCCAAGGGAGACCTTAGAGCACCTTGTTCCTTTAGCATGTTTGTCTAGATCAGCTGACCACATAATTGGTCACTGGTCACTCCACCATCTGATCATCCTCCGATGTCAGACGCATGCATAACTCATGAATGTCAAAACAAGATTTGCTGTATTTAATAACACTACTTCTTAACAGTGATACTCAACAATGCTAAGTATAATGTATACAATTTCATATTTCAATTAGGGGAACATTGTGCCAGCAGTTCTGAAATTAAAAGGATTTGCTTTAATTGGATTCGGGAAAAGCAGACTACACACTGCAGTGTTTTTTCCTACCTAAATACAACAGTCTGCATTTTACTACGTGAATTAGGAAAATATAGTACTTTTTTTTTTTTTTTTTTTTTTTTTATTAAAATGGCACTTTTTTTGCTAGGATAAGTTGCATGTATGTAAACTTAGGCAAAAAAAACCCCAAAACTCCATGACAATACATGGAAATTGGCTGCAGTCAAATATAAATTCATATTAACAGTGTTTATCAAGTAAGAGGAGTTTAAAGAACATTTGCTGTACTTGACAGTTTGTTTGGTGGTCATACTTCTCCTCTGACAAAACTTCTCACGAGTGTCATACAGAAGCAGTTTAATATGTGACAGTTTCTGTACTTGACAGTGTTTGGTGGTCATACTTCTCCTCTGACAAAACTTCTCACGAGTGTCATACAGAAGCAGTTTAATATGTCACAGTTTCTGTACTTGACAGTGTTTGGTGGTCATACTTCTCCTCTGACAAAACTTGGCCAGGAAGACCTTAAAACACCAATTTAATGTAGCATGCTTGTGTCCAGATCAGCTGACCACAAATGGACAGTCAGTGACCCCTCCTTTGTCTGGTCATCAGGGTCTGGTGTTTTCCAAGCATGCGTAAGTCTGTCTGTTATTTTATGACTGAAATTTTGCATTTTTAAAAGTTATTAAATAAAATGTATTTTATCTAACTCTTGTAAATCTGTTTGGTACTACATGACTGGCATTTTGCACAAAATGTTAAGAAATGAAATTTATTTAATTTTACCTAAATCCATACACTGTAGCTTACCTACATGATAAACACATTGTGCAGGCCTTAAACATTACAATGGAGCTATCGATACCCAACAGTCTATCTGATAAACTAACTTGCTATTTTTTTTGGCATGTAGCTGATTTTTCAGCATCTATTTGTCAAGTCTTACTATTTCGGAAAGAAACTCCCCATGTTTAATCATCTGCCACTTTTAAATTTTCAAACCAACAGAATTGCCTACAACTTGCATTATGTTATTGTATAATCGTTTCATTAAATAGAAAAAAACTTACACTACAGCACTTTATGGCACTGATATATCCCCCAAAAAGGGTTGTTGTAAGAACTTTTTACATGTTTACAGATTTTTCCTGTAAAAAACAAATTGACAGGTTGGCAAGTATGCCTCAGAAGGTAAGAAATTTCTTATATAAAACAGATTGACAAAACTTGTTTCAGAGCACATCAGGTAAATTGATAAATTTCTAGATCAAACAGGTCATTTTAAGCCATTAATATGTCTTTCACATCACAACCATATAGAGTGAGTGCTAACATCACTGAATAGTTGGCTTTAAAGTGCCAAATACATATGTTAAAATATTAAATAGAATTTTCCATTTTAAATGGCTGACTGTATTAATTGTTGCGAATGGGGATTGTGCATATTAATTTGATATCTTCAAATTTATTTCAAAATCAAAGATTTTGTTATACATTACAGTCCCACAGCTGTAGTGAAAGGTTCTATAAATTAGCTTGTACACTTGATGTGATCACAGGGGTACTCGATTCTCACGAGTGTCATACAGAAGCAGTTTAATATGTGACAGTTTCTGTACTTGAATGTTTGTTTGGTGGTCATACTTCTCCTCTGGCAAAACTTGGCCAGGAAGACCTTAAAACACCAATTTAATGTAGCATGCTTGTGTCCAGATCAGCTGACCACAAATGGACAGTCAGTGACCACTCCTTGGTCTGGCAACATGGGTCTGGTGTTTTCCAAGCATGCGCAAGTCTGTCTGTTACTTTGTGACTGAAATTTCACATTTAAGTTATCAAATAAAATGTATTTTATCTAACTCTTGTAAGTCTTATCTAGTACTACATGACTGGCATTTTGCACAAAATGTTAAGAAATAAAATTTATTTAATTTTACCTAAATCCATACATTGTAGCCTACCTACATGATAAACACACTGTGCAGGCCTTAAACATTACAATGGAGCTATCGATACCCAACAGTCTACCTGATAACTAACTTGCTATTTTTTTTGGCATGTAGCTGATTTTTCAGCATCTATTTGTCAAGTCTTACTATTTCGGAAAGAAACTCCCAATGTTTTATCGTCACTTTTAAATTTTCAAACCAACAGAATTGCCTACAACTTGCATTATGTTATTGTATAATCGTTTCATTAAATAGTAAAAACCTTACACTACAGCACTTTATGGCACTGATATATCCCCCAAAAAGGGTTGTTGTAAGAACTTTTTACATGTTTATAGATTTCGCTATGTAGTTTTTCCTGTAAAAAACAAATCGACAGGTTGGCAAGTATGCCTCAGAAGGTAAGAAATTTCTTATATAAAACAGAATGACAAAACTTGTTTCAGAGCACATCAGGTAAATTGATAAATTTCTAGATCAAACAGGTCATTTTAAGCCATTAATATGTCTTTCTCATCACAACCATGTAGAGCGAGTGCTAACATCACTGAATAGTTGGCTTTAAAGTGCCAAATATATATGTTAAATTACTAAATAGAATTTTTCATTTTAAATGGCTGACTGAATTAATTGTTGCGAATGGTGATTGTGCATATTAATCTAAAATTTTCAAACTTATTTTGACATCAAGGATGATTTTGTTAAATAACATCACAGCTTGTACACTTGATGTGATCACAGGGGTACTCAATTCTCACGAGTGTCATACAGAAGCAGTTCAATATGTGACAGTTTCTGTACTTGAATGTTTGTTTGGTGGTCATACTTCTCCTCTGGCAAAACTTGGCCAGGAAGACCTTAAAACACCAATTTAATGTAGCATGCTTTTGTCCAGATCAGCTGACCACAAATGGACAGTCAGTGACCACTCCTTGGTCTGGTCATCAGGGTCTGTTGTGTCTAAAGCATGCATGAGTTTCCTCAAGTATTAACAATACAGAAATTACTGTATGCATTTATCATAAAATAATAAACTTGCATGAATTCATGTTTTTAAATGCAATGCAAAAATAACAATATGAAAGTAGTAAGATGTTGATGACTAATTAACCAGTATAAGATATATAGCAAGACTCGGTTGATGAAAGATTTCAGGATGATACTAGGGTTACTCACAGAATGATAGCTAGTTATTCTGACTATCTTATAAGAATAACTGTTTAAAATTGAATAAGTTTAAAGTACAGTTTGTATTAAAAACTTCAAAATGACAAAAAAAATACAGATTTTAAATCAACAAGAGTAAAGTGAAAAACATGACAACCAATTATCACAGGGTATACGTCAGACCCTTTCTTTCTAAACATTACGAAAAACATATTTGCACACCGCTTCAGTTTCCAACTGGAGAACGGAATCATGACATCAGAATAACAGCTAAATTTGATATGCCTTTTACATGACAAACTTTCATCATCTAGCTACAACAATTCATTTCAGTTTAGTACCAGATGAAAATTTTAATCTGACCTGGTCATTGTTTTAACAAAGTTTTCAGCAATATTTCAGATCAGATGGGAATATTTCAAAATTGACCATCACATGTCGAATTTTGGAAATTCCAATGCTAACCAAGAGAGTATTTTGCTTTTACTTGACAACAAACATGTAATTTGGAGTAGCAGAGAAATGTATGAGGTTCGTATGATCATGTCAAGTCACACAGCTAACATGTACTATCAAATATGTATTAATAAAGGTAGGATTTAAACAGATTCTGTGACATACTTCATCTCTGGTTAAATGGACTGTTATTCATTATTATGAAGATGAAACATACCGTGTGAACTAGTTATGAAAGGGAACTCTAATCAAGTTCCATTATCAAACACAGTGAAATCTGTCTAGAAAATAACTTGCGTTGATTAATATGCATTTTCTCTTCATGAATACTCAACAAGAATTTCATGGTTGCAATATACCCACATTATATAACAATAATCTTTATTAGAAACAACTAAAATCTGATTTCAATGATGATCAGTAAGTATTCACAGCAAATAATAATAACAGTAACTCCTAAAGTTTGTTTTCTTCCTTTGAGCTAAATAAGGAAATAAGGCTGTTGTAGGTTTACCTGGATACATTGTTGTGAAAGTCTACACCCTCGAACAGGGAGTCTACAGCACAGGACGCATTATCAAGGGTTGATAGTGTGTGTTTACACCGCTCTGCTGCCATGTTGAGTTTACTGAGAGACCGTCGACTCTCTGTAACATCGAGTTTGTACTGTCTGAAACACCAACAAATACAATGACAGATACAGGCAACAAAACACTGGGTCACGTATTCTCTCCAGTCCATTTTAGTGAAGCAGTAGTGCTGTAAAGTTAAAATTCAAAATTTGATTACTTATAAATTGACTGTTTTTTTATAATTTTCTTAATAGAAGACTTAATTGTTAATTTTGTAATTTACATAATTCATTTAAATAAAATCTTAGTAAAACATTTTGTAAAAGTATGAATATCTTTTTCTGAAGATCAAAATTTATGAGAATGGGTTAATTACCTGAAGAATTCTGTTGCTAAGTAGTCTGTTAGGGCCTTGGTAAACTTTGTACCCGATAGCTGGGTACTGTTGACGGAGCCCATGATGCGATACAGACCATTGTGCTCCTTTACTACCGACACGCTGCTCGACTCTCCGCCCAAGCGGAATACCAACGTACAACTGAAATTAATAATAATTTGAGGTTCTTATATACCGCTTTATCACAACCTAGTTCGTAGGTCGTCTCAAAGCGGTGCACAAATTATTATCCGTGGTTATAGGGCCTTTGCAACCAGCCAATACCTTTTTCAGCTTCCTTTGGGAGCATACAGCCGGAGCTGCCATTTCGGCACTAACAGCTAGCATTCAACAATTCTAGTACTGCCCAACCATGTACTCATTTACAGCTGAGTAAACTGGAACAAGTGGAGTAAAGTATCTTGCTCAAGGATACAACACAGTGCTGTGCCGTGCCGTGACTCGAACACTCAACCCTTCGGTCACGAGCCCGGCGTCCTACCACAAGACTACCGTGCCTCCAATGTGTAGCACATAAATCAATAATACTCATCATTACATCTGTAGCCATTTTCCTGACCTTGAAAATCTGAAGACAATTTTCACCTGAAGAGAAACCTTGGTAGAATATCAGGTTAAAGTATGAACCTTTTATCATTATAGGACATTTAGGTCTATGGCAATAAATAGCAGAACTACTGCATATTGATAACATTTAATTATACTTATAATGACAGTTTTCATTATCAAGGAGAAAGCAGCTCTATGTGCGACATTCTTTCAGCTTTATAACTGGTAAATATTTATTTATCAACAACAATCTGTTCATAGATAAAGTATGACTGTATGAAAGTTTATAAGCAAGTGGCCCATGGACCAGTGACTTTAGTAAGATTTTTATCAGATGAGTCCATGTCATTCTTTTGAAAAATGAATTTACATTGATAGGAAATAATGTGGGTTTTCAAAATGTTGGCGAGTCCCAAGGAAAAGCATGCGTACAGGACTCAAATATTTGTGTCCAGACAACAACTGATGGACCTTAGCTTATTGCCGAAATTATTGAAACTGCCTCGGTATAATATCAGAAAGGTTTCAGTTGGAAATAAATTTTCAAGATGGCTTCAACCTGAAACCCCTTGTCACAAGGATGCTTGTAGGAAAATATTTATTAAAATTTGTCTGGTACACAATTCATGAATTTTACCTATATATCGAAGGTAAAGTTTGCCTCCTTGGCAGGGTCACATTTCGAGTTAAAGGATCTAGTTTGATATGAGGGTTTTTCATTCCCTGCCTTTTACAAATTCTAGTGAATACTTTGAAAAGTTGTGAAAAATTACCACTTTTGTAGTACAACACGAGGAAACAAGGAAAGCTTCTTGTGAAAAGGTTTTAAGATTTGACTTATTACCCATTTTGGCCAGTCAAACAATTTTGAGATGATACACTTTATGGTTTTCCTCTATATATCCCTATGTATATGTTGACCCCTTGATGCAGCTCCATATGGGGCTGGGGACTTAATATGAATATATTTAAGTACCTTACACTCTGCCATTACACTTACTTAAAAAGGAAGTTCCTTCCTACCACTGAAATAGCCTTACCCTGGTATTTATGGTACTCAGCAGAAGGTTCCTTCCTACCACTGAAATAGCCTTACCCTGGTATTTATGGTACTCAGCGGAGGTTTTTCTAAATTGTCTATCATTACATCTGTCAAGCCCACCGCTTTTATCTCATGAAGGGAAGGGCATGTAGTGAGATCCCTTATCCCAATGATGTTTCATATAAAATCTGGTTGAAATCTGTTAAGTGGTTTCACAGAAGTCAGAAATGTGAAAAGTTTAAACATGACGAGCAAATATGGATGAAAATATCTCATTTGTACCTTAAGTTCAGGTAAATTTAAACTTCAAAAGCTGATTTTCAAATGCTTGTAAGTAACAATTGTGACATTTTATCCTAATGTTGAAGTATATGTGGGTGAAGATAGCATTTTTACCTTTCCGTTTTGTTGTCCAACTGTCCGACATCGTATGCCATGAGAGCTGCAAGAGGCTCCTTGATTATCCGAAGAATGTTAAAACCACCCGAGGCTGCAGCATCACTAGTATAAAATACACAACCAATTAGCCATCGCTGACTCAGACAACATTATAGAAATAGGCTTGATTTAAAATGTTTTAGTGCATATCTTTAAATTCACAGAAACAATATTGAGATTTAAGCAACAAATATTTCTGTGATTTCATTTTATATTTGAAAAGTTACATTATAATTAACCATCATAATGGAACAGCATTAGATGCAGATTTTGCTGAATTCACAAATGATGCAAATGTTTTTTTTTAGAAAATTCTTAAAAAATGATATCTGAAAAGTAACAGAGTGGGTTGTACTGAAAAGTAACAGAGTGGGTTGTACTGAAAAGTAACAGAGTGGGTTGTATTATGTGGTTTCAATGTGTTGACATGATCACCTGGTGGCGGCTATCTGTTCCTCTGTGAAGTCTGTAGGCACTGTCAAAACAGAATCATGAATGTCTCCATCCCCGTGACTTTTGGCAATACCTAAAAGAGAAACAAAGATTCAGAGAATGAATGACAGATCTTCATTACTTCCTTATAACATTAATTATCCTTAATGTCTTAATTATTTCTCTGCATTTATAGGTACAATGTATACTGTACGTCATTATCAGTAAACTGATATAAATGATAGATCTGAAAGCACCAACCAATTTTATTTGTCTGAAAAATCTTTTGATGCTGAAATCTAGTAAAGAACTTAAAGACACATTTTAAAATAAGAAACAAAATTGGTGAGTTAGGGCTCACAGATATATCTCCTCAGGAAAGGGTTGATGTGTTTACTTGTGGCAGTAGCATGGTTTAAAATAACTCTGCAACACTTTCACATCTTAGACAGCTACACTATAAATGCAGACAACTACACTTATGCCAGATGTGTTAAAGCATTTGAAGGGTTTGACTGATCAAGTGTCCTGTACACACACTTCTCACTATGGATAGAGGCATCATAAGCCCATCTCCATTTCTTTGATTCAGCAAACAATATGGCCCTCTGGGCTTACTACATGATTCAAAGGATATACAGTCATAATTCTTAATCTCTTACCCATCATTGTTTTGAACACTGCCTCGGCCACAGTTCCTGGACTGACAAGAGTTGTCTTTCCTTTGAATTCCACTTGAAAGTGGGGCTCACCTTTATTAGGCACTACCTACATTGAATGACAAATGAAAAGGAGACATGATTTTGTCTGGGTATGTAAATAGAGCAATGGACAAGTAATCAAGTCCCTGGGTTGACTCCTCGCTATCAGAAACACCTGTAAAAAGTTATCTTGGTTATAATCTAATAGCAGTTTATACAACAAACAATACGCAAAAACACTGGTGTGCTGTTCAGACTAGAGGGTACTAGGTAGTTGATATCCCTTTTATGACAGATGCGAAATTTCAGCTGTTTCCACCAAAATTTACCAAACTTACACTGGGATAAAGTTGGCATATATATACTACTGATTCACTTTCATACAAGAAGTATACATGCCCCCCTTAATGTACCATGTGACCGCCAAATCACATGACTTCTATTCCAGAAACTTGTGTCTCGGAAATGACGTATGAATACCGTGACTTTGTCACAGTCTTCAATGAATACCATGACTTTGTCACAGTCTTGAATGAATACCATGACTTTGTCACAGTGTCAATGAATACTATGACTTTGTCACAGTGTCAATGAATACCATGACTTTGTCACAGTCTTCAATGAATACCATGACTTTGTCACAGTGTCAATGAATACCACGACTTTGTCACAGTCTTCAATGAATACCATGACTTTGTCAGTCTTCAATGAATACCATGACTTTGTCAGTCTTCAATGAATACCACGACTCTGTCATGCTTCAATGAATACCATGACTTTGTCACAGTGTCAATGAATACCATGACTTTGTCACAGCGTCAATAAATACCACAACTCTGTCACAGTCTGCTGCTCATGCCTATAGATTGCTTTTTTTGTACTTCCCGTTACCATATATCTGTTAAAATTGTTGGTGTACATGGAAAGAATGATATATTTTCCCTTAATTAATGTAGCATGAAAAGTCAACAGTTACACAATTGTCCATCCCTTTACCTTAACTGCATAAGCATCTTTGTAAGACTGCAATTCTGGATCCTCCATGGAACGACCAAGAACCTTCTTCACACAAGGGATTGTATTCTGGGTATTCCTGATATAGGCCTGTTTGGCAGCCATGCCAACTGCCTAAAAACAAATGTTGTTATACTCAATATTGAAAAAGTATATTGCAATAAGAATTCAGCATGGCAACTGCCTATATTGCCAGTATCAACAGTGCAGTGAATATGGAAAATACATTGCATGTTATAACAAGTATGTAGTCAAAGTGGAATAGGGATTAGAGCTCGGACTGAAAATTCACTAGCAGATTAACATGTGAAGACAAGTCCAAGCAGATTTTAGGCATAATCCACAACATTTCTTTCATACAGCATAACAACCTATATTAGATGGAAAGTTGTCATAATATTAATGACTTTATCGTCTGATGTAAAAGTTGTAAAACTGAAGCCAGATCATGTGTAAAATAGCTGGGAATTACTCTAGATAGGTTTTTATCTGGCTAATCCATCGCTAATTAATACTATCATTACTTAAGTAAATCAAAGGTTAAAATTTTTGAACAGAATAAGTTGTTGTCTTTCTCCACAAACCAGGAAACTATATGTTCTGCATTAATAGTGTCACTTTGATTATGCATGTTCTTCATGGTATGAAGGTCTTTCAATGAAGCTCAAATATAAGTTACAAGTAGCTCAAACTGAAGTAATTAGATTCATTTCAAATCTTCATCAGAAAAAGTGTGACATTTTTAGAATTTTAGAACTAGTTTCTTTAAAAATTTGTGACCAAGTTAGACAATTAAGACTGAATCATGTTTTTAATATTTTTCAAGGAAAGTGTCCAGACTATATATATATGAACCATGGTTTTACACCTCAAGCTTCAACCCATTTTACTAGATCTAAGCAATTTGGTTTTTGTATTCCTGCTATCAAAGGGGTATTAGCTTCAACTTTTTATTATATAATAGTGTGAAGGACTGAAATATGCTTCCTGGCAATATAAAGCAAATTTCAAAGAAAGGACTTTAAAAACTCATGAGAAGAAACTTGTATTTTATGGAAACTGCAAAGGACAATCACAAAAATGACTTTTTATTCTAAAAGAACAAATGTAATTTGTATTAGATTGTCCATTGTTGTTTTGATTAACTGTGATATCCTAAATATGTATTTGCCAATATTGTTTATAAAATTGCCTTAACCTTGACGTGCTCGTTTATGGACCCCATTGGATTTTTTTATGTGTTATCCAAGGGCAACTGTTTATTTAACTTACTGTGACTACTAGTACAGTCTATGTCTTATGTTTGTTTGTATTTTTGTACCACTTGTGTAATTGTAATGCCTTTTACCTGAATAAACATTATTATTATGATTGAGGAAAACACCAACAGACAAATGTTTTTCTTCAATCGGATTAAGCTAAAATTAAAGCATAACATCTTTTCGTTCCTTATTTTAAATGTTTCCTAAAAAAGTTATAACGTGCAATAAATCTTATTCACAGCAACTTATTTGATATATTTACCCATGCATATACCATTTAAAACTTAAGCTGACAGGGAAATTGTATGATGGATTGAGAGGTGGAAATGCACTAGATCACATAAAAGATTACAAGCTACTTTGTCTTGGGCGATATAGCTTTTGAAGCGAACATATCTTTTGGGATATATAAACGAGGCGTTAAGGTTTTTAAGGGGAAATTGGTTGGAATGGGGTGATGTGAAACAAACTTGTGGCATACAGCTTTTGGGCGAATCATCTGACACCCTGCCCAACCTGTTAAAAGTGGCATAATGAGTACAGGTACTTACCTGTTCTAAATCAGTATAGGCCACCATAGACGGTGTCGTTCTGTCTCCCAGGTCATTTGCAACAACATCAGTCTTCCCATCCTACAAAAAGTTTCTTACTCTTTAACAAAACACGCAATATAACTGAGCAACAATTACTAGTAAATGACAGTAAAAGGAATCAAATATTTTAAATGAGTGAAATCTTTAAGTTTTAAAATTTGAAAATAAATATTCAGTTATTGTTCTACATTACTTTGTGAAATGGCATAACATTCTTCAACACCATTCGAATGCACCCTATCATTCCCATCCCAAATCATTGTATTTGCACGTGCACATGTTGTGGGGATCCCAGTCGTATTCTAGATATCTTTTAGTTCAAATAATTAGCAAACTTATTCAAATGGGTATATGAGTATTTGATTAAAACGACATATATTCAGCGTTAACGATAATTAACCTTAAAAACAGCCAAACAAGCTGACGAGCTTCCAAAGTGTACACCGAAGGCTGCCATGTTTTAAATCTCGTCTCTTTTCGAGATTAACCCCCTGATGACCCAATGAACTGTCACAACCCGGAAGTAGTGTTTCCACCAATCACAGAGCGACAAATGTACATGTGCTTCCTACAGGACACGTAATTTTTACCGGCATCTACGTACACGTTCAGTTTGTATGAAAAATAACAGACTCCATAGAATTAAGAAATCATTGATTAGTGAGAACTGTTGTCGTGACAAACGGAGCAGTTTAAAGGACATATCATACGACGAAATAATTAAGAAACGAATAGGCCTATAATTGCTGAAGAAATGATGGGGATTCAGAAATTGTTGCTGTGTCTGACAGTTATCGCGTGGTGCGTTGTCAATGTCAATGGGAAGTACAGACCAGAAGAATGTGAAGGTAATTTGAGTGTGGCGAGACCATGTCTGGGTAGACCCATTATTTAATGGACAATAAGAAGGCATTATCATTAGGGAACAATGGTGTCAGTTTTGTCCACTCGGTGGTAAGTTGCCAGTCGCTTCAGTATCTGTCCAAGACGTTTCGGAGGAATATATGAATTAGCTTGTGATTTCCTTAGTTTCCGTACTTTATAAATATTACTTTCTCTTAAGTAAACCCGTACCAACTTTGTTTGGTGTACGTTTGTATGGGACCGAAACGTCTAGAATTCTCTATCTGACAGGGGTGTCAGACGTTTCGCCCTAAAACCGTTACGCCCCAAATTTGATTCATATCGCCCAAACCAGTTCGTCCCAAAAAAAACATTACACCCCAAATAGTTCGCCCCAAAACAATATAGCGCCCCGTTCCTAAAAAAAATAAACAACTAATCCATGTTTTCATGTGCTATTATAAAGAAAATATTTCTTTTAGGTATATGTACATCTTGTCATCAAACGTTGATGCCTGTAGCTATTAAACATGTTATTTGTGACTCCAGGAAATCTCCAAATTAGCACTTGTACAAAATAAATAATAAAACCTTCAGAATTTGTATCAATTTTATCTTTGCAGCATGTGTGAACTTCATAAAGACATTTGATGAAACTTTATCAGCTGATGCACGCAAAAGTATGGATTCCATCAAGACAGAATTAATAGACTTTTGTGAAAACACCAAAGTAAAAGAATATGAAAGAATTGTAAGTATAAATATTAAAAAACACATCTTAAATGTGGGTTAGTAACATTTCTAACTGTAGCTGGAATAATGTATACAATAGTTTTAACAGAGCACGTTTACTCTAGTGGTAAAAACTTCTTTATAATTCATACAAAATAAACATGTAAATAATATTATACACTAATACTTACTCATGCACCTGGTAAGGCCAGACAAAAAATATATATATGTGTTTCCTGTAACCTGTAAAATTTAAGGTAGGTAGGTAACAAATTGTATTTCAAAAACTAATTATACCCCCACAACGAAGTTTGGGGGGGGGGGTATACTGGAATCACCCTGTCTGGATGTCTGTCTGTCGTCCGCAGTAACTTGTCCGGAAAACTCCTCCTTAATTAACAGGTGGATTTCATTGAAACTTTGCATGAATTATCAGTATCTTATGTAGTTGTGCAATGGCATGCATTTTAATTTGGGACTTCAACCCTTTTTGATGGAGTTATGCCCCTTTGTGCAAAATACTTGTACGCGCAACTCCTCCTTAATGGACAGGTGGATTTCATTAAAACTTTGCTAAATGATCCATATCTTATGGAGTTGTGCACCAGCATTTTAATTTAGGATTTCAACCATTTTTCATGGAGTTATGCCCCTTTGTGCGAAATACTTGTTTATTTTTCTGTTATTTTATTTTTTTGTTTTTATATAAAATAGTGATTAACTCATTACTGGTGAGAAACTATATTGCTTTGCATTAGTAAGCCTTAATCTTACAGTTCTGTTTTATATAGTAGCGGGGGTATTAGTTAGCCTTTGGCTTACAGTTCTAGTTTTATATGGTTTATATTGAAGTGATCTTGACTTTAACTGTGCTTCTTTGAAAATTCCCTTAGAAAGTTTATGGTAGACACAAAAAATAATGGTAGGTACGGTTACCAGAAACACCAATTTTTTTTTGTTTGGCCTTAAGAAGGATTGCTCTCATCAATATCTTGCCTACTACGAGTGCTGTGTTGACTTATGCTCCTTTATGGACTTGTCGAAACAGTGTTCGCTCGATATCTCAAGTAATTATTAACGGATTAACTTCAAACTTCACAACAAGGTTAATTACCATGAAACCTCGGACAAGTTCGATAACCGCCATTATCCGACCGTAATTATTGGAGTTATTCCCCTTGGTTTCATTAATGCGATGCATGTGTTCCATGATGTTGAATTGCACTCATTGATCTACCAGTTATGTTGAATGATTTCTCTTTCAATATCAATTACTCACAAATACTTCATATATTTCAATCATACAAACAACTGCTCATTCAATGTGTGACGGGCGTATTATATACCGCTCGCGGTAACCTTGTTAACACTTTCAATACCACTTACCGGTTTTAATCTTTGCGTTAGAACTATTGAGACTAGTGTCACGTCATTCTGTAATTGACAGTGACACTGTTCGTCTTCTTGAATTTCATTGACATTGCCATCACCAGAACTGTCTGTTTCACTAGCTTCACCATTATTTACCACAGAAAAAAATCTTCATACAAAAAATATTGACACGTTGACAATTATCAGTATGTTTTTAAAGCGCAACAACAACCCTGCGAAGATGGTTTAAAGTAAAATGAACATAGGCAACAATTTTCAGAATTAATTTATACAACATGCTGATTTTTGGTTTCATGAAATTGGTAACAATTTTCAGAATTTTAAACTTAATATAGGGAAAATAGGTAAATTACACTTGGAATGGGGTCAATTACTGACTAAAATTAGTGACTTTTTTTTTTTAGAATAAGGGATTTGAGCTGGGGGCATAATTGATATGCAAATAAGAAGTATAGTGCTGTTTTGTGTTATACATATTTTAGCTTGTACATGTATAATGCATTATATTTATATTGTAGTGTTACTACATTGGAGGACTGAAGACTTCCGCTACAGCAATACTCAATGAGATCACACGACCGCTGACCTTTAATAAGCCGGCCGAGAAGATTTGTGAAGTACTTGACAAAAAAGATTCCCAGATTTGTGAAGTAAAAATAAGTAAGTTTTAGATTGTTTGCTCTTCTATAACAAAACATGATTGATATTCTATGTACATGAAAAAAAAATATTTGGTAAAATTCAGGTATACCAAGAAATAAAACAGAAAAGTTGCAGGGGTCAAACTCCGAACTTTTAATTGTAAAACGTACACTTTACCATTGTTGTTATCTAGAGCTTATCAATTCACAGCACTATAACTAGTGTCTAATTTTTGGGCTACAAAGCCTGTGAAAAAATAAATGAACACTGAAAGATACATAATTGGTAAGTTCTCTATTAAGCCTGAAAAAAACTCCTTTTGGTTACTTTAGTTTCTATTTATAGAATGGAGAATATTCAAAGTGAGAAAAAAATCCTTCATGTTGAAACTTTTACAGTTATAACTGATTAAAATTAATAATTCTTTTGATCATTTAACCTTCATTATTAAATGAATGAACTTTATCTGTTCTAAAAGAATTATGAAACAATTCTATAATACATGTACCATACAATTTATGGTTCCAAACCCTGGGTCAGGGTGTCCTGGTGAGAGATGAGAGCACTATATAGCACCATAGACTTCACCACCCAATCTCCTTTGTCATTCATTTTCTTGCAATATCTTTGGTAATTGAATTACAGAGAAGAAGATTAACCTTGCTGAGGTTGACCTGAAGAAATTGCGTGTTAAGCAGCTGAAGGAAATTCTCAGTGACTGGAATCGCAGTGATGCTTGTAAAGGATGTGCCGAGAAATCAGACTTCATAAGCATAGTAGAGGAACTTATGCCCAAGTACGACCAAGCCGCATACAAACTACGACAACAAAAGCTAGAGTTATAGTTTGGTTTAGATTATTTTGTTCAAATTTTATTTATGAAGTATGTTTTTTTTAAGAGAGAGGGAGAGAGAGATTGTGTATGTTGTTAAAACATATTTGGTATGTTAAGTTGCTGTGTATGTATATTTTTGTGTGCTATAGACAGTGTTGGTCAGAACAAATGAAAATTTGATATTGATACATGTACATGTTGGTGGAAAACTTGGTCTCTGAATGGCTTAATGTGAAGATTAGCATGAAGTTTTCTTTTATAGGAAAGTTAATTTGTAAAATTAGAGGAAACTCCAATTATATTTCTTTCTAGAGTCAATGCAATTGATGATTAAACCACAATGTGATTCTATAAATTAATATCAAATGTGTCCCTACCCAAATTGGTACAGTTTTGACATTTTCTTTTCATATTTAGAATTCCATTGATGACAGGTACTTTTTCTTCATATTTTAAAAAGTCTGCCTATTGTTCTTAAGGAAAAGGGGCAGGCTGTGGTGGCCAAGTGGTTAAGGTGTCTGACATTCTGCTACAACTAGCTCTCTACCACTGGGTCGTGGGTTCGAGGCCTATGTGGGGCAGTCGCCAGGTACTGGCCGTACATATAGGTCGGTGGTTTTTTTCCGGAAACTCCGGCTTTCCTCAACCACCAAAACCGGGCACGTCCTTAAATGACCATAGCTGTTAATAGGACGTAAAACACAAACAAACCAAACCAATCTTGCTGGAAAATGTCTACTTTGGATTCCAAGTAATATACTAGTATCAACCTTTTGTACATGTTGAGGACCGATTCTTTGACCATTTACCGTAAGATAAAAATCTGGACAGAATATGATTTAGACAGAGTGCAAAAATATGGTGATCATATGTTTGAGGTGAAAGAAAATGTATCTGCTGTAAACATAGACAATCATGATAACAAAATAACAGATCTTTTGGGGTTTTCTGATGACAAAATTTAGATTTGTGTTGAAGGTTGAAATATATACATTTTTTATATATGGCTTTAAAAATTTTGATCACTAATAAAATTAGACCAGCATTTTAAAATTATTTGTCTATCTATCAGGAGATTAAATTCTTCCTTGCAAGAATGAAATAAATCAGACTTTCGCTACTAATGTAAAAAGTTACATACCCTGGTACTCATAAATAAAATCTTTGATCGTATTTTCTGTGCAGTAATGCAGAGAAAAATCTGTTCAACTTCTTGTATTTGTATTTCATATTGATCAGGTAAGCATCATCTTCGCTAGCCAAGTGTTCGCTTACGTGGAGTGTATACGAAGCGAACACTTAGCTAGCAAAGATGGGCAAGCATTATCAGTGAATATATCAATCATTTCAAGTTACCTGCCAATATTAAAATGTCATCGATGGATGTTAGTATGGAATGTTTTGAGATTTAGAGAACATTTATTTTTGGAATGAAAGGCATTCAAGTTAGATAATGTAAGTATGGAATATTTTGAGATTAAGAGAATATTAATTTTTGGAATGAAAGAAGTTAAATAGTTAGAAAGTTGTTCGCTAATAAAAAATGACAATATTTATGAATGCATGTATGGATGATTTCTAGTACAATGAGAGTTTGATAGTGAATACAAATCCTTTTTGATGTATTATTCTCATCTTGTTAAAATTTCCTCATACCTTCATAAACATATATACATACTGTATGTCAGCTATGTTTGTTAGTAAAATCACTGAATTCTCACAGAATTTTTAGGCTGAAATCAGAGAAATTTGGATGGCCTCATGGCATAGCTTGTTGTTTCCACAAAGTCAAGCTTATATATGTGTACCAAAAAGAATTCATATGAATGTGGTGAATTATATTTGAAATAAAACCTTTGAAGTAAAAAAACATATATATATCAAACTTCTTACTAATATTTTAGTATTGTATATATGAATTAGACAAAAAAATAGCTTTCTAAAACCAAAAAAAAAAAAATGCTCAAATCCAGATTCTATATAATAACCCAAGATGGCTGCACAAAATCAGACATGTCCGTCTGTTACAAAGTTATCCTTTCTGTGGCACTATAGATTGTGGCAACTGTAATTAATTTGGTTTTAAATCTTGTATCTTACATCAAGAATTTATTAGAAAATACTAAAATGGCAAATGGCTGATGTTGACGGCACATAGTATGAAGTCCATAATCAAGGATTGAAGGGGGCGGGGGGGGCTTTCATCTGTCCATGTTATAAACAGTTGTTACGACCTTGGGCTGTAGTAAGGTCTGCTGTTTATAAGCAAGCTGCAGATATAGTTGACCAGCAAATGCCATCTGATATCATCAGAGATATAGTTTGCTGGAGGTACTCAATACTGAAACATCTGGAATTCCACGGAGAGTTTTAAAGCTATAGAATTTGCTTGAATCCTCGACTCGCAGACTATATGGAAATTGTGATAGAAAGATTTTCACTTCAGGTTTATTCTTTTCTGTTTAAACATTTTTAAAAAGAGAAATTCACTAACTAGTTGTGTATAATAACAATCTTATGAATATAACTGACTTGCAGTACTTGTAGATTGGTCATTACAATTTTAATGTAGTTACATTGCATACATTGCGATACTATAAATTGTATAACAAGTTGCAATGTGTTACTATGACATTTGTACTGTGAAGGGATCCAGTGTCTGTTACTGGAATAGGTCATAATGTTTTGTCCAGGAGAATGCCTGGTAATTAGTTTTCATGAAAGTGCTAAGCTTTGTTTATGTTAATTCGTACAATATATTGCCTACATTTTTTCAACACTTGGTTTTGTTTTAAAAGCAGTGATCAATACCCTTGGTAAATCTGAAGCGTTAGATTGTGCAGACTTGCATGTACTATCTAGCACAGCTACCAGGTTTGAACCTATAGGGATAAATATTCACAATATCATCAAATTTACAAATGAAATTTAAAAATGGTAATTTTCATGTTTAAACACTTAAATGCAGATATTGATTAACACATCACGTAGTTTTAGTTGTTCCTTAAAGTAAAATATAGCATACTATCATCAAATGTTGTGCTACCCCGGGGCCTGTTCATTTTAGTTCCTTAAAGTAAAATATAATTTCATATTATCATCAAATGTTGTGCTACCCCAGGGCCTGTTAATTTTAGTTGTTCCTTAAAGTAAAATATAATTTCATATTATCATCAAATTTTGTGCTACCCCGGGGCCTGTTATGTTATTTTTCACTGCCGGACAAAATAGCATTTAGGGATTTTTCTCCTTGTCGAGAATGTTTAGATCTGTAGTGTTGTGTAGACAATTTGGTTTCAAATCAGAAAACATCTTACAGTAGAATGACTAGTTCTGTGGCCTAATGCTTGTGCTACACTCTAAATTGATAAAGACACAATGTGACAACAAGTAATGAGGATGCTGTTAAAAGCTTCAAGTGCCAATTTTAGTTTTTCTTCTATCTGGATGGGCAATATCCTATATCTGTACATTTGAATATTGAATTCCAAGATACCTATAGACCTATAACTCTTATACTTACTACTAAATGCAGTAAAATGAAATTGCAGTTAACTCATTCACCCTTGAAGATACACTTGCACTCTTTCAATTCAAAGGTTGGAATAGTTCATTGTGAAATTTCAGGGGTGAACAAGTTTAAGGTATAAATTCATATATTAAGCACTGTTTGAAACTGAAGCAACAATATGTCAATCCAGAATAAACAGTTTGTCCAAAACATATGTGATGACTTCTAAACTTGTATGTTAATATTACAAATAAGGTTGTAATATTGAATCTGCAGAGTTTAAATAAAATGTTATTTAATAAAATATTTGCTTTTTTATTGTTTTCTTGTCATCCATGTGCAGGCATGTACGTAGCTGCCTATATGCTGGAATGCAGGTGTATCCACCATATTTTCAAACAGAAAAATAAAACAAAAACAAAATCTGATTAAAATCATATCCTACATTCACTACATATTCAAAAAATCATATCCTACATTCGCTATTTATCACGTAAAGATACTAGTAAAAAAAACTAGATACTTTTCTGTCATCAGTCTATAACATCCCAAGAACAGACCGTACAGACATTCCAGAATGACAACAGGAAACAAACCTAAATAAGTTACATGACTGTGAGGAACAAACTTAAATAAGTTACATGACAGGAAACAAAATTAAACTGTCACTTGACAGGAAGGAATAAACTTAATAGTCTTTAAACTGTCACTTGACAGGAAGGAACACACTTTATGTAGGAACATGACGGCAGTGAACACAGTTAAGGAGATATATGACTACAGGTAACAAATGGAATCATTTCAAAGCTAGAGTAGATAATAGGGAAATCAGTTATGGGAAAGCAGAGATCAAACATGACAACAGGGAATGAACGTAAATAAGGAACAGGACAACAGGGAATGAACATGGCAGCAGGATGAACAAATTAGAAACATGACAGCAGGGAATGAACATAAACAAGGAACATGACAGCAGGGAACAAAGTAGGAACATGACAGCAGGGAATGAACATAAAGTAGGAACATGACAGCAGGGAATTATCATAAAGGAATAACATGATGGCTGGTATTCAACATAAAGAGGAGCAGTTGACAGCAAGGAAAACACTATTTAGGAACAAGACAGCAGGGATTAAACTAAAGTAGGAACATGACAGCAGGGAATGAGAATAAAGAAGGAACATGACAGAAGGGAATGAACAGAAAGTCCGAACATGTCAGCAGGTTGAAGATTCTGCTAATTGTATGTAGGTGGTGTGCATGGTGCAGGACTTGCGTCGAAAGGTTAAAAGTTGTTAAAAACTGGATAAAAACAAAGGTCCTCAGAGTTTTGACACACTGGCCATGAAGGCATCCAGTGACTGACGGCGAGGGCACTATGATGTCTGGCGGGAGGGCGTTCCAGTCAGAGTGAGTCTCTCGAGCTCACCGTCCTGGGGAAGAAGGACAACTTCCTTGTGTCGATCCTGCTTGTGAGGAGCTGGTAGGAACTGGCATGGACATATCTACCGAGTCTGTGAGGTAATAGCAGTCTACCGCCTTTACTTATCGCAACCTAATTAAGGCCTCAGTCGATCCTGTACAATATGGTAGTCAGTCGAGCGTGTGATATGGCGTCTTTTGAAATTTCTATTGGAATATTCTGTATACCAGGTTAAATATATGATTAAAATTAATACCATAAAAATTTGTATACACTTCTAGGGGAAAATGGCAATTAAAAATCCCAGATGCTCATGGATACACTAGGCCTAACTGGTAGTGTTCTTAAAATGGCATATTTTGAGTTGTTCTCTCGGATGAAATCATTAGTTCTCAGAATACAGGAATAGTGCAGCAAATTCACTGGCTGGAAATACTCATTTTTTGTTTATTTTTAATTCTAAATAGGGAGACTTGGCAAGTATGCATAATCCTAATACTTTATGCACTTATATGATTCCGGTTCCGTCATCCGGTCTTAATTTCGAGAAGATTATAGTCGCCTTGTCACTTCCAACCTTGCGGACGTTGAGCTCACGATGCAACAAGTATTGAAAAGAGTTTTATTACTACTATCTAATGTTACTGGCATAGTCATAACCGTGATTGTTATTCGGACCTTGACGTTTTCCGTGCGGACAGACGATGTGACACCGTGTGCCAAAAGTGACGAGGACTTTGTGCAGGCGACGGATGCTGTGGTGGGGAGATTTCGCCGGGCGTTGAGGATGCGGACTGTAGCCACATCTCCACACGTCTACGATAGAGAGGAACTAATGAAGCTAACATCTTTTATCAAAACTGGTACCTTGAAATAAGGACAAGTATTTAAAAAAAAATGTTTGTTTAGAAATTTGCAGTAGGTACATTCGCGTTACCGGTTGAAACGGTTGAACCGGTTGAACCTGTAAAGAAAACGACAGGTACAGATCTGGACCGAGGCTGGCCTCAGGAAAATTTGGCACGTTTAGATTGAGGGGTCCAGACGTGCCTGACCGAAACTAAAATGCTGACTATTGCCAATTTGCGTTATTTCTTTCTAAAACAATGTCAAGTCACATGTAGTTTTTAAGTTACGTTATGTAATTCAGTGGACGGATGAAAGAAGGTCATAATATTCTTGAAACACTGTTTTTTATTCTCCGAAACTGTGGATTTTTAGCTCTGCTTTATAATAGAATGGTCCAAGTGTGTTCGTTTATCGTGGAAAATTTCTGCGCCACACGTACGGTTTCAACCGGGATACGCGAATGTAGCCTAGGTAGAACCATTAGAAAACGAAAGCAAATAATGAATAATATTGGAAAGAAACGGAACGCAATAGAATGAAACGAAAGTAAATGAGAAACCATAATAAAAAGTTTCATTCAGGCTAGTGTATCAGGTCATCATCACGTCTTCGACAATTTTTTCAGTCGTTATTTGTGGACGTTTTTGGGTTACCTACAAATTACGCAGTTGTTCCGCGAGTGTGGAAAAAATGCGGAAAATGTGTGGATTTTTTATTTTTACGCATGTTTTACGCAACTGCGGAAACGGTGGTGTGGAAAATGTGTGTAAAATATGCGGAATTTTGACTTAGTCATTTTCAAATGCGGAAAATATGTGGATTTTTTATTTTTATGCATATTTTACGCAAATGCGGAAATCATGATGTGGAAAATGTGCGTAAAATATGCGGAAATTTGACTAAGTCATTTTTAAATGCAATTTTGGACTTAGAATAATTTCAAGGTGTAACATTCTGGACTTAGAAAATTTTTCAAAATATATGAGATTTTCAATGGATTTTTTTCCCCTGGTTTCTGTATGCCAACGATATTTTAATCATATGAATAGTAGTTTCTTCAAAACATATGATTAAAAAGTTCATGCAAATAAATATCCGGGTTAACAAGATTGATTATAACTTGAAAGAACTTGTTTCATAATTGTTTTAAAATAAATAAAGTATATATTTTAACAGTGTCTCATGGTCCTGACACTCAATGCAAGGACTCACTCAAATAACAAAGTTACCAGTTATTTGGTGTTACCATGCATATGGTGCATACAAATCCTTATTGGATTCTGAGGTTTTTTTATCAATCAATGTGTTTTATTCAAATATTTGGAATTATTTGGGTTCATTTGTCAGGGACAAATGTATATAAAAAGCACTAGAAGCAATTTGTATTTAGCTGTTTACATTGTAATTATGTATACTTATACATGTAGCATGTTCTAGGTATGAACATTTTAAAATCAATGGAAGCGCAGTTGCTGGATAAACCACGTCACACACACGACCATGACAAAAAAGTGCCTACATGTAAAAACAGACATTACCATGTGCTGATGACATGACAATCAAATGACATCATAATGTCATGGCATGAATTTGTATGTAATTAAGCCTCCAGCAGTAAATGTTATGTCTTAGGCGGGTCAGGAGACAAGAGTTGGCCACAAATATGACTTTGCATTGTGTAATTTTGAATGTTTTACAAACTGTACAAATTTTGGAATATAGAACCAGTGGCCAACTGCAGTCAACTCCTGATCAACCCACCTTCTCCTGATTAATTAAAGTGTGAGGAAAGACCCAAAACAACACCAGAGTTCAAGTTCCACAAGTTTATTACATATTTAAATCATAGTGTGGTTTCATTGAACAGAAATGAAAAGAGCAAAACAAACAAAAATCAGTTAACTGAAATGTAAAGCCTGTACAAACAGTGGAATGAAACAAATTAGAACACATGGTAATAAAATATAATTGAGGAAAAACATAAACTTAACAATTGCAATAGTGAATGTATAAGACATTGACTGACTTGTTAAAAGGACTCGCACAACTAAATTAGCCAATCAGCAAGTGTTTCATATGTTTGTAGTTCCAATCTAAAATAAGTTCCGGCTAATCATTCGGCCACTGAAGGAGTTTAATAAGGAACTGATGACAGATTTTTAGATAAATGAAATGTTCAGGTATTTAACTTTTGAAAAATATATACTTTTGATATATTTCCATGTCTGTCTGTATGCAGATTTGCACAGGGCAAAATGTCTGGGGGCGTTTCTGTTTTGGGTCACGGGGTTTGCTTGTAAACATCCAGTTGTCAACTTCCTGACGCTGTGACACTCCAATATGCCACTAAACCTACCAAAAAAGTCATTTTGTAGCCTTTGCAAGGTATGTTTTTATGAATCTAGACAGTTAATTGTCACTTGTTTTGAACTTCAAATATTAAAGTTATTAGCTAAAATGTTTGGTAATAACATATAGTAAATGATTTAGTTGTGAAAGTCCTAAAAGGCCCAATTTGGTCAGTATAATTATAATAGTCTAGAATATCTGACACTGTACACATCATGGTATATGTAGCTATGTACCATTTGTTCAGTGAGATTGGTTAGACTTCCACCATCCCTCCTAAAATAAGGAAACACTACATAATAAACACCACAACATCATGTTAATTCTGGTGTCAGAAGGTCTATGTTTTTTAAAATTTAAACTGCATTGTAACTAAGTACAACCTATACCCTGGGGATAAATCTGCATGTCACTCTGTTTTCAGAGAGTAGCCTAATAATTACATTACGACAATAGACATGAAAGTGACAGTATACAGAATAATATCAACCTAAAAGTGATGTTTCAGTTGTACGAGACCAATACTGGCCTAATTAGTCAGCATTAGATGCTCAATCCTTTTTGATTACATTTGGAAAACTTGAAACATCTTTACAGCCTTTACTGAAGTCCATATGCATGAATACAAGAAGTTCTTTCATCCACTTTGTTGGGATAACTGCATTCTCTCTGAAAAATATGTAGTTCATCTGGTTTGAGATACATGTAGTTTGAGATGCATGTAAAGGACAAATTATGGAATTAACATAAAAATATTCAATAACATCACTTTGCTAAAACCCCCAAACAATTAATTGAAACATTTAAAAATGATGTTACAATCTTATTACCATCTAAAAATGATATTGCGATATATGTACTGCTAGATAAATATTTTAATATATCAGTGCTGCAATATTATTGCACACCCCTAATTAAATCAATGAAAACATTTTGCATTCAAGCCATTTTGGTATCTGTGGAGTGTAACATATAGAAAGATTGTCATTCGAAAATCAATGTGGAAATTGTTCCTCTGTTCCTGAACGGAAACAATTCTTGTTTAAAAATATAAAGACGTTCGCTCGTTTTGTAACCCAACGCGATCTAGTTAACCTTGTCGAGTTCCAGGAGAAATTGAAATTATCATGTCTGATTGACCCTTTTTCTTTTAAGGGCTGTGTCAGTCAAAAACGCTTACCAGACTGTCATCCATGGTGCAATCATGATCATGATGATATAATTTTAATTGTGAGTCCTTGCGGTTTGTCCTGGCATGATTCTTCAATCATATAAACCTTATCAGAAAGAAGGGCGTGGAACGTTTGGTAAGAATTGTACAGCTGTTAAAAATTGTATACACTGTACGCTGGCTTTTTATCCCGGTGAGTGTCGATTGTCTTCTCAAATGTATCTTGAAAACCCACACAAACTCTTCTCAAAACACCGATTACAACCGGAAGTAAATATTATGGATCTTGGTCATTAAAACGTTTCTAACCATATCAAAGGGCTTTCCTTCAAAACGCCTTATTGACCCTGACGACAACCAAACTTTTCGCGCTCTTTTACAAATCGGATTTGTGTGTTGACAGCCGACAGCGTTCACGAACTTCAAGTCACCTCATGATCGGTTATCTGCACATCATATCGCAAATGTTTGAAATACACATATGCTATACTGATATGTATGTTTATGTGTGCTGTGATCCATATCAGTGTAGCATATGTGTATTCTGGACATTTGTATTAAATTGTAATGAACCCCTGTGGATGAAGGTCTGCCGGTCATTACATCAAACGGAGGATTCGTTATCTCCTTCCTAGTGATGGTAAGAGCAATGTCAGATAAATAAAAGCCCAATGAGAGTCAAATTTACGGAGACAGGGGCATTTTTCGATCACAGCTTTCGTTGTTGGTCGTCAGATCGTAATTGCTACGTTCAATTCGTTTTACAAATTCATAAAATAAATTCACGTAACTATTCCTACAAACTGATTTACCAAATTTTGTATTGTATATGAAACATTTGTATATATGAAAAGTTCAGATTAGCAAATTGACAGTCTGCTTGATAAAAAAAATCCCAAATGTACAATTGCACTGCCTGGGTTTAAATTCAGAGTTCATATATATATAATGATTCATTTTAAATACTTTAATTACAATTTATTATTCATGGATCAAGCATAAATATTGCATTACAAATAAAGTCAAATAACAAGCCATCAGATAAAAAATGTGTTTGTGATTTTATTTTCTGTATTTTAATATATTGAACCTGTAACTTATTGCCTGCTCTTTAAATTTTAATTTGTGGAATTACAACACAGGCATTAAATCAAATGTTTCTGTCAATAAAAATAGTCCTGACAAAAAAAATCACACCCTTACTCTTGAAAAAAGAACCAATGTATTTTTTGTAAGAGTAGGGTGTGATCTTTTGTGTAGGGACTATTTTTATTAAAAAAAATATAATAATAATAATAAATGCCTGTGAATTACAATAAGTTCCAACTTCCAGTAACATTGTCAGATTATTTGAAGAAAAAAAATAACACTGCTCATTTTCACTTGATCATCATATTACCAAGCCCCCCTCCCCACAAATCTTCCAAAAAAAGTACCAAGGACTTCAAATAAATTTATTGTTGTAGTGTCAACTATTGGTCGTATTGAATTTAGGCTTTTCAAAGTTGTCAGATTTCATTTTTTTTTTAATTGAAGCAGAGTGAGTGAAGTCTAGGGGCTATTGTAATTAATTTCACCAGGTGACCAGTGTGTTGCACCATCACTATTGTCACCCAACACAAATTACATGTTTACAAGCTGAAGGGTAACATAAATTGCGGCTTTCGCTTTCTGATTGCAGTGGTAACAAATTTGAAATTATAAAGTATACATAGACAACTGGTGACAATGAAAATTAGACACAAAAATATCAAAATATTCATTACACGAAATAGAAAACATAAACAACAAGACACATGGTGGCCAAAGTGGATTTTGACTACCTTACATAAATCCTAACTGTCCCTACTTAAATTTTTAATTACAAGAATACTCTTATTGTGATGCGTCTACCAATCATGATGTGGCGGCCTCGCTACCAACATAGTGAACATACTCCAAAGTTTATTCCAACATTTCTGCGCTCTACACGTGAGCTTATGAGCCTTCTGTCCATAGATCTAGAACCCATCACCAAGCGAATTAAACTTTAAGCCACTACTTGAGTGCTGTCCGAGAGCATGCATTGTTATCTGTGATGTCATGATGATCATACATTAGATATCACATGATTATCCGTAAACGGTCACTCCAATATAAATTGTATCACCTTCCCTTTGTTCCATCATGGTTATCTTTATGTTACATGTTTAAAAATTAAACATTTTGCTGTGGGTGAATACATTGGTTACCTAGCAATGTATTCACCAACTGTAAAATGATTAATGGTTGTATGATGTCACAGATAAAAATACAAAGTTTCCCCCTGATTTTTAGTACTAATAAGGGAACAAATTTTGTCAAAATTCACTGTTCTGGAGAAACCGGTAGATGTTTCCAAATACATAAAACCCAACTTATCCTGAACTTGTTGCAATTGACTTATATAATTCTTTTTTTCCTATTCTTCAATCGCCCTGCATACCTGGTGGTATCCAGGTAAGGGATAAACAGAACCAACCTAACCTAAACAAGAAACAGCATTGGATCCCTCCCTTGAAATATAGTACAAAAAATTGGTGTACACATACAAGGCACTGTTCCAGCTGTACATGAGTACGTGGTTGGGCAGTGCTAGAATTGTTCAATGATATATAGCTGTGAACGCTGAAATAGCAGCACCGACTGTAATTTTGCTCCCCAGGGTCAGTTGAGAAAGATATTGGCTAGTTGCAAAGGCCCTATAACCACGGATAATAATTTGTGAACAGCTTTAAGACGACCTAGATTGTTCTAAAGTGGCATATGATTAAACCTTAAAATATTCTAAATATTGCTAGACAACAAATTTTTCAACAGTTGGGACACTTTATTATCAAAACTACAACAATGCGAGATGAAGGTTGGTCCAGAAAGTACTGGCTCTGCTGGCCGGAAATTGCCGGAAATGGCCGACGTAATTTGATTGCCCTGATTGGTCAATATTCAGTCAGGCCCCGCCCACGACGTCACTCAATTTCCCGCATTTTCAGAGGGAAATGGTTTCAAAACTATCGCACCCCTCCAGACGAACTCTTTCCCTGGCATGCAGTTCGAGGGGAAATAGCTTGTTTATGTGGATACTTTTGTATAGTGTAAAATAAGTAGAGGTATAATAATATAACCTACATCAGTGTGTGATAAAAGTAATATATCAAATGTGTTCACCTGATGTCTCTGATTGCACTCATTTATCATGTCTATATTTCAATTAACCCTTTCACCCCTAGGTAACTTTAGTAGACTCTACTATGCATTGATATTGCAGAGCTCCATTATGGGTTAAGCTGAAGCCCTTCTGAAATGCATCCAATCCTCTAGCTTACGTGCAATGCACTCGTGGGTTTTGACACAACAAATTAACACATGTGTTGGTACTGCCTTCATTTATTTCTACTTCTGTCTACATACAAGGTAAATTTTCTCATGTTCTTTAAATATTTTGATTTGCAGCGTATCCTCATATTAATTCCTCACCATTTGTCACCTGTGAAGATGTGGCAAATTACAGTATGTTGTATACTGTGTGGGGAGAGAACTCCAGTCTCACCCCATATATGATAACGGGACATCTTGATGTTGTGCCTGCCGACTCAAGTCTGTGGGACTATCCTCCATTTGGGGCAGAGATTCATGATGGCTTTATCTATGCTAGAGGAACTATTGATGACAAACATATTGTCATGGTAAGCATGTTAATTAAAATTTGAATCTGTGTTTTCATCATGTTTTCCTAATAATAATAAGTCTTCAGGAAGGTCAAATATCTATTTCACCCAAATATGTAAAAAATGATTCCGGTAATATGACATATGTAACTGTTCTTCCATTTTTAATTGCATGATTTTGTAGTTGTAGTGATCAATCAAATTTGCTATTCTTTGTAAATAAAAAAGCTTGTAGGTATATGGAGAAGGATTTTACCAAGATTTGTAAAGTTTCTATCTCCATAAGTGCTTTTTTTTTATTTAAATCATGAGTATTTGTAATTGTATTCATTTTAAGCACTTTTCAAGCCATCATGCTAACTAAAATGAATGAATAACTTGAAGCATAGAGTCGTAAACACTGTTATTTATTACGTTCAAGGTTATTTTCTCAAAAAATTGTCTTTTTGTAAATGATAAAAGAATCAATTTTCTTGACATTCTAGTATTAAGCATTAGCACAACATGATCCTCTTATATAGAAACTGTTCATATTACACTATTTTTAGCCCACCATCAACTGATGGTGGGATTCAAATCACCCTGCGTCCGTGGTCCGTCGTCCGTCCGTAAACAATTCTTGTTATCGGTATTTCTCAAGAAGTACCGGAGGGATCTTTCTCAAATTTTATATGCAGGTTCCCCTTGGTCCTAAGCTGTGCAGGGCAACTTTTGAGACTGATCGAATAAACAACATGGCCGACAGGCAGCCATCTTGGATTTTGATATTGAAAGTTTGTTATCGCTATTTCTCAAGAAGTTTTAGAGGGATCTTTCTCAAATTTTATATGTAGGTTCCCCTTGGTCCTAAGCTGTGCAGGGCATTTTTTGAGACTGATAGGATAAACAACATGGCCGACAGGCAGCCATCTTGGATTTTGATAGTAAAAGTTTGTTATCGATATTTCTCGGGAAGTGCTGGAGGGATCTTTCTCAAATTTTATATGTAGGTTCCCCTTGGTCCTTAGCTGTGCAGGGCAACTTTTGAGACTGATCTGATAAACAACATGGCCGACAGGCAGCCATCTTTGATTTTAATATTGAAAGTTTGTTATCGCTATTTCTCGGGAAGTATCAGAGGGATCTTTCTCAAATTTTATATGTAGGTTCACCTTGGTCCTGAGCTGTGCAGGGCAGCTTTTGAGACTGATCGGATAAACAACATGGCCGACAGGCAGCCATCTTGGATTTTGATATTGAAAGTTTGTTATCGCTATTTTTCAAGAAGTACGGGAGGGATCTTTCTCAAATTTTATATGTAGGTTCCCCTTGGTCCTAAGCTGTGCAGTGCAACTTTTGAGACTGATGGGATAGACAACATGGCCGACAGGCAGCCATCTTGGATTTTGATATTGAAAGTTTGTTATCGCTATTTCTCAAGAAGTACCAGAGGGATCTTTCTCAAATTTTATATGTAGGTTCCCCTTGGTCCTTAGCTGTGCAGGGCAACTTTTGAGATTGATCGGATAAACAACATGGCCGACAGGTAGCCATCTTGGATTTTGATAGTGTGGGTTTGTTACCGCTATTTCTCCGGAAGAACTAGAGGGATCTTTCTTAAATTTTATATGTAGGTTCCCCTTGGTCCTAGCTGTGCAGGGCAATTTTAGAGACTGATCGGATAAACAACATGGCCGACAGGCAGCCATCTTGGATTTTGATAGTGAAAGTTTGTTATCGCTATTTCTCGGGAAGTACGGGAGGGATCTTTCTCAAATTTTAAATGTAGGTTCCCCTTGATCCCTCGTTGTGTATGTTATATTTTGAGACTGATCATAAAAACAAAATGGATTAAAGAACTAAACAAACAGATCTTTCTCATATTGCAATGATCGATTCTATTTCTTTCACATTAAGTACTGTACTAGTAAATATGTGAAATGACAAACTCACTTTGAAGGTTGACTTTCATACACATCAGTATTAAGTTTAGATCAAAAGTTACCTCAAGGTGCATTTACTGTTAACATGACTCGATCAAACAAATTAGAGGAAAGAAGAGAAAAGATCGAACTGACAAAGAACTAATGAAGATGGTACAAAGGTGGGCGCCAAGATCCCTCTGGGATCTCTTGTTTAAGTTACCCGAGGAAGGTCGGGGCATGCTGCAGATGACAGTTGCAGGTGCTTATTGGAGTAATTTCATTTTTAAAACACGGTTAACTGGAAATTCTAAATTTAGAGTCTTATCCTTTTACAGTGAAGAACTTCTTTCAAGTTGTGTGTATTCACTGGGCATGTGGATACATGAACCTGGGTTGTTTATAGTGTTGCCTTATGGCGGCAAATACTTTGAAAAATGTGGGCAGTTTGTATATGGAATTGGCAGGGAGACTGCCAGTGACCAAGTAGCTAGCTCCATTGTTTACAGCGTCCAGCTAGAGCTTACAGGTCCCAGGTTCAAAGTCTGCCTAGCTGTACGTGTGTTGCATTTTCCTATATCTGTTACAATAGTACATAGTTTGAAATGGTGTCTAGTTTATATATTATCAACCATTTGTTTTCATTTATAGGGTGTTTTGGAGGCTCTTGAACACCTACTGTCCCAAGGGTTCAAACCACAGAGATCGTTCTACATCGGCTTTGGACATGATGAAGAGGTAAGTAAGTGGTAGAAGTACGAAAGGACATAATATCTTAACTCTGGGCATGGAAAAGAGGTTTAGTTAAAGGAACAAATAATGGAGGACTATGTTCCACCTTGACTTGGAGCATGGAAAAATAGGTAAATAAAAAGGATAAAAGTGAAGGATGTTCTACCTGGACTCTGAATGTACTACAGAAAGGAGAAAGCAGTCACAGAATTATAATTTGCGTTTTAGTCTGAACAACGTTTTTGTTTATGATAGGTGACTGGTTTAGATGGAGCTAAATCTATCAGTGACCTATTGTGGTCCCGAGGGATTCGTAAATTGGAGTTCCTGGTGGACGAGGGATTGACCATTGTAAACAATGTTGTACCAGGGATAGACAAACCTGTAGCACTGTAAGTAATTCTGTGACACTTTTTGCCAACTTTCTTTTTGCCAGTGGTAATAAATCATTTGATTTAAATGGATGGGACAGTTGTTGACACCATGGTTATAGATTACATACATTTTGTTTCATTTTGGTGTTTCTTGTGTTCCAAATGTACATTTTACTATCAAGGAGTATATCAAGATGAGGAATTTAAAATATGTTTGAGATTTGTTATCTGTGCTACTGAAAGATGAGCAAATGTAATTATGTAAGATCTTTTCACGACCTTTGTAACTGTCCGACACTGAACTGGCTTATCAGTACATCAGAGTTCATTTGTTGTCACAATACACGTTATACGATATAATATTATCACCTTTCCCAGTCATTTAAGGATTTAATGCATTTAATGTCTTGAGCCAAATTTATGAACTGCAAAGCAGTTCATTTTGAATTTGTCTCAAGACCCATTGAGGTTTATACAAACCTCAACAAAATGGGATTCTATCCTTATATTTCCATTCAGAGCGATATTGATATTTGTTCGGATAATTTCTAAAATATCGGTCTTGTGCAAGTCTAACACCACGAAAGGTAACAACACTTATATGATGTCATCACTCACTGTGAGACGTCATCCTGGTAAGATGAATGAGCAAATTAAGATGTAAATTATTTTTGGAATTCAATTGAATACTTCTGACAAAAAAAAAAAAAATGAAAACAATCTATGAATGGAACTACTTTCCGCACTCCGCTGAATAACAGAGTAATCAGGTTGATAATATGCTGATGTATTCATACACTGGCAACTGAAAAGTTCATTGAAAAATAACCCTTAAAATGTTAAGTAGGTATATTGAGTCCAAGTTCAGAAATGTAAATATATTAAAATCAATGACTCTTTTACTGTAGTGTACATTGTTTCAAAAAGTACTATTCAAGTCATTTTGTGTGGCAAAGTCCAGCTTGCAGCCATTGGTGAAATCAAAAGCTATCCACCAGTCACTGTCCTAGACTATATCATATGACATATTTATTCATAACTTGTGTCTCTCTCTTAGGATAGGTACCGCAGAGAAAGGGTACCTGACCCTGAAGTTGAATGTGAAATGGGACACCGGCCATTCCTCCATGCCCACAAAGGAGACTAGTATTGGAATTATGGCTAATGCTGTTTCTAAGTAAGACATAGGCTTTGTCAAAGTTTTGCTTTTTACACAATGTACGTGTTAAACGTGTCACGTTTCAAGACCGACTGGTCCTTTTGTCAAGCTATGACTGAATGAGATATCTGTATTACTTACCTGTACAACGATGTGACAAAATCGTATATTCTTCATGTCAATCAACCAGAGACATTTCCCCTATCGATATAGGGAGCATATAAACACTGCATCAGATAGGTAACAGGTAGAGTGTAGATCTAGCCCCCTCTCCTGCTAGATAAAAGGTAAATAATAAAAATCAGTCACTCAGTCATAGCTTGACAAAGGGACCAGTTGATCTTGAAACGTTGCAACACATTTAACACGTACATTGTTTGTGTAAAAAGAAAAACTTTGATATCATATATTTCCAAACTGATGATTATTATTGAAGATAAGACACAGGTTTTGCTTGATTTGTTGTATGTCAGTTAAGAAGGTTTTGCTGGCCACTTGACCAGGACTAGCCCATTCTTGTTGATCTAGTGAAACTGAATATGGGTAACAAGGTGCAACACATGTGATTGGACATGTGCCATTAACGCTCCTCCAGTTCTAACACATGTGATTGGACATGTACCATTAACGCTCCTCCAGTTTTAACACATGTGATTGGACATGTACCATTAACGCTCCTCCAGTTTTAACACATGTGATTGGACATGTACCATTAATGCTCCTCCATTTTTAACACATGTGATTGGACATGTACCATTAATGCTCCTCCAGTTTTAACACATGAGATTGGACATGTACCATTAATGCTCCTCCAGTTTTAACAGTTCTGAACATCACCTAATGATTACTCTTTTTTGGTAGATTCTAAAAAAAAGAACCTATGAAAAACTAAAAACAGAAACAAGATAAAAGGCATTATAATTCTGAAAAATTGATAAAAAGCAATGGAATAGTTGATATTTTGGAAATTTCAGAAACTTCTGCCTTTTTTTACAATCTGCAATGCAAATCTATGCGAAAATAAAAAAATTATTATGTACATCAAATTTACTTTTACACCTAATTATATCAGTAAACAACATAATATATATTAACCAGGTGTGAAGGATAAAAGTAACACTGGGTGAATATGGCAGGTTGAAAGTTTGACTTGGTAAAAATTCCTCGATTTAAAGCAAGTCTATTTAATATTATATTGACAGACTGACAAGAGACTGCCACCCCAGCATGTTTGGATTAGGACCAGAGATTGACACCTTCCAACACCTCGCCAATCATGTAAGTCTCCTAATGTTGACAAGAAATGGTAACCTTTTACTGAATATATGTGTAAAAGATGTGGATTAATTAGGTTGCCTTACAAGCGTCAGCTGTAGGGAATTTCCCTTTAGCTCAGCGGTAGAGCATGGGGCTGGAGAGCCAAGGGTTGCGGGTTCGAGCCCCAGTGACGGCCCTATCTTTATCACTATTCCTCGTCCTATTACATATGTGATATTACTTCTATGTAACGGTTTCCAACACACTTAAAGGGAGAGGGATCAATTTACTGCCTTCTACACAATCTTATTTATCGTCATGGAATAAAACACACTAAAATCACCAAATTTATACAATAAATAGTTACAACCACTGTTTACATGCAAATGCAGTAACACCTAAAACACTAAACATCACAGGTTCCAAAGGTTTCTTTGAGGAATTGACAGATATTAGATAAAATAGATTCAATTTATGTGGAAATGAGATGTAGTTGGAAGTATAGTTACACTTCATATAACCTAACAGAATGTAAAATTTATTTTATATGTTTGATGCGTTACTTTCTCTTAGTCAAAATTTTAATTTGTAAACTAGCTGGGACATTAAAGAATATTTGAAACGTACAATGTAGAGGTAGTGGGCAGATTGAAGTGTGGTTATAAGGGCTAAAACAAATTTCTGGTTCTTAGTAACCAGATCCCATAGATTTTATGAAAGAGAAATTTTCAATAAATATGCATGATTGAAGTGAGTACAATAATATCCAAAACATCTGCAGGTTATGACTAGAAAACGTAACCTGAACAGAATTCCAGATTTTGAATTGGGGTTGTCTCCCCTATCCCATATTACACAATGAATTGGTGCTTCAGTATATGTTTTGACTATAACACATTTTAAGTAATAAAGGTTTGGAGAGGACTTAAATAGGCAAAGCCGGATGTCCAATCTCTTTGACATATTAGAATAAAACTTGTTAAAATTGAGATTGAAATGGTCCGAAACCACTGAGGTCATAACAGTAAAAATGTTGAACAATCTGCAAACATGGTCTTTTTTCTAAAGGTCCCTCTAATGTCTTGTGTGGTGTTATCTGACCTATAGTTTTCTAGGAAGACAGCTAGGCTATTAGATTTGTTGAATGAAATGACCTTGACCCATTGTTAAGGTCACAGGTGTCAGGTACGTTTTGAAGAATAATGCCTTCAAATGGCTTGTTTATAGAACCATATGAAGTTTAGGTTAAGTTCTATGTATGTGCTATGTCTTGCTTGAATGAAGAGTTATTATGGTTCAAATACTTCACCTGCACCCAGTTCAAGGTCACAGGGATGAGTTTTAATAAAATACTCAAGCAATATCTTCTAAATTGTCCTTAAGGTATAGAGTAGTGATACTTTCCTTACCTGGTTTTTGACATATATTTTGCTAGGAAAATATGTTACTAAATTTGTTTAAGGAAATGAGTATAACCTCCTTTCAAGTTCACATATGAGAGAAATAAGTTAAAATCTTTCAAAAAAGATCCAGAAAGTCTAGAAGAATGTTTGGTATGTTGGTAGTGTAAGTTGGCTGAAATTCGATTCACTTTGAAAGTCACAAATGTGCTAACACTATTCAGTATTAGGTGAGCAGTACAGGTCAGGTTGGTTTCTTGTTTAAAGTTTTGAAAATAGTTCGGGAACTAACACACCTATTGGGTGAAATACAGTATAAAACAAACAATATAGTATAATATCATGTATCTTAGTTATAATACATTCCAATAAATTTTCTATGGACTAAAATCTACTTTGAAATGATGTAATAACAAAGTGTTTTTGTCACTTGGTCTTTCAATATATATAAAGTTATATACATGTATATAAATACAAATATAATGATTATCAACAAGTTATCATTTGTCATTTCAAATCTCTGTATTTAATTCCAGTTAATTATTTACAGATGAAGTGGCCATATAGAGTTGTGATGTCTAACCTGTGGCTGTTTAAACCCATCATATCCTGGTATGTTGCAAAATCTTTATTGCATTAAATTTAATACACATCTAGATGATGCTAAAAGAGGTTCCATTTCGTTTGAGATTTGAGAGGATTCTCAATTCTTATCCTGTTCTAGCTGCCGTGTTGCTTTTTTCGAACTCCTGTGACCATTTCCATTTCAGGGTTTTGTCAAAGAAGCCGTCTACTAATGCCATTGTCCGTACTGTAACATCCGTCACCATGATAAATGGGGGTGTGAAGGTAATATCATACAACAACGACTGACATAGTGTGTTACCTGAGGTAGTCCTACAGCAAAACGTGTGCTGTCAAGCAGTAGTAGTTAATTAATCTAGCTGAGACAAGATGTTCATTCTATTACCTGATAGGAACAAAGTTTTGGAAGGTTTGCAAACAATACTTACAAGAATTTATACATAATACTATGGTATTTCAAAACAGAAATTGTATCATTAATAGATATATTATAGCAGCCTCCCAAAATACACACACCTACACTACACGCATGCATCTTGCACACAGGGAAGGCCGTCCTTAAATGACCTTAGCTGTTAATAAGACGTTAAACAAAATCAAACAAACAAACAAACAAATAATAGATATATTGGCATTTTACTTTACATAGTAAAAATCCTGGTTAATAGACTGATTTATGTTGTAAACTTTGTAAACAATACATCTCCAGAACACACGTAGGCATACACACATAGGGAGATATTAGCCAGGTGGCATAGGACTAGTAGTTAGCGCCTGAAAAAGCAGCTCCTGCGAATTACTCAAAAATCGTATTGATTAACATACATGTTTATATGTTAATTGTATTGATTGTATAAATTGTTATGTATATCTGTGTACTGTAAAGCGCTTTAAAGTGGCTTATTATAGCTAGGTAGCTATATAGGGTGGTATATCAAATGTTATATATTAATATTATTTATTATTATTATAATGTATTGTGAAACCATGCAATCCTGATACAAAAGGGACTTGTAAAATATGAAACTGGTTGTGGTTGATGATCTAAGATGCTTATGACCTGCAGAATATGAAGCTGGACATGTTAGATTTTCTAAGATGTATACTTGTGCTTCCTAAGAGGATGGTTGTTGATGTTATTCCAGGTGAATGTATTACCTCCGGAGGTGACAGCTTATGTCAATCATCGGCTCCATCCTGCTCAGTCTGTACAGGAGGTAAGATTGTACAAAGTTTCATTTAACACTTTCGTTTTGTTAACGAATGAACTTGAACTTTTTCTTTTTACTGTGAAAGATTTCAGCTGTGTATTTACAAATAAATTCTAAATACATTTTTTAATTTCTACTCTTTTTTGATGAAAAACTTTTCATGTTAAATTTGACTGGAAATTTTAAAATTATACAGGTTGTAGAATTTGATCGTCAGTTAATTGGAGATGACCGCGTCCAGATAAGTATTGAGTCGGCTATGGAGCCCCTCCCCATGTCGCCCTATGGGGACGATGACTTCGGCTATCAAACTGTAAAATCCAGCATCAGGCAGGTCTGGACAGAGGCTGCTGTAGCTCCAGGTCGGTCTAATTTATTGTAAACTTTGGAAAAAATATTACCTTACTGTTTGTAAATGTTAAGGCTTTTTGCCTGTAATAAATTTAAATTTCATTTAATATGACTCGGTGCAGTTTTACAGATAAGTGAAATGAGTTTGCTATAAATATTTTGCATGTCAAAAAAGTGTTCAAACATTAAGATAAAATTTCAAAGTAATAGCCTTGTACAGAATATACGTTTTAGTTACCTTGTGTTGAATACAAGCATTAAGGTAAAAACAAAGGTTTAATGAGGTTATTATTAAATCTTTTATTTAACAAATTAACAATATTAGCATGTGCATGTTGTTTATGTCTGTATTTCTTACCCAACTAACTTTTGCTACTTCTACTAACCAATAGACATTCTTAACTTATAGTTGTGGATTCTGATCCAGCTTTTTAATAAAAATGGACATAATGAACAAACACTTTACATAATATTGTATAGATTTTGAAATTTTCAAGTGTCGTGGATTTGTAGCTTAGATGGATAACACTTAATCTAAAGCCTGTATACTTGCATCATGTTCCGACATGAAAAAAATTGTAAAGGAGAATAGAATATTAGCTAGCAAGTATATAATAAGTTTGCATTTTTTTGTTTAATACATATGCTATCAAAAGTTGCAGGTTTATGAATTAAATATAAACAATAATGATCAGCCCCAGACACTTCTCGTCAGTAACAGAACTACCTGTTTAAACATTGTGGTCCAGCTTTGAGAAATACGAAGGGATGTATTCAACATTTAAATGGCGAAATATTTTGTACCAGATATGCTAGTTCAGTACAACAACTTGCTATTCTATGAATATGTTAATATGTTGGTTTTGATTGTCAGGATGACAATTAGTATGTTGGGATATATTACAGGAGTAATGATAGGAAACACGGATACAAAATACTACACTCGACAGACACCTAACATATACAGATTCAGCCCTAGTGTAATGTATCCAGACGACCTGAAACGATTCCACGGCAACAACGAACGCATCTCCATCAAAAACTTTGAACAAGCCATCAACTTTTATGTTCACTTAATACAAAACAGTGAGAAGGATGCCATCGGTCAGCTCCACACACACACTGAGGAGCTGTAACCTAGGTCAGCCTTGGTTATTACATTATCTCTCACACAAACCCACTCTGTCACAAAAATATGTTTCCTGATTGACCAAACTCTTCAGCTACTCTCCTACCACAACACATCATCACCTTATTTTCCTGCTTGATCAAACCATTCACCTCTTTCCCTGTTTCAACAAACTCATCAGCCAACCCTGTTGAACAAATTTATTCTCTCATTTCGTGTGCCAGAAAAATATCTTGGGTTAGAAGTTACCTGTAAGATATGGCACTGTACCTGGAAACTTATATCGATCCTAAGTGCCATAACTACTGTGCAGTATTTACTGATTATAGGCCATACCCACATGCAGATAAATTTCATTTACAGATATTAATTTTTTGTCACAAAAGATAGCCTTGCTCACCATCTTATTATATCCACATTCCACACCTCACCAACTGAGTGTCCACTTGTCTTGTTGCAGTATAACATGCCAGTCTATCTGATATGAATTGATTCTGATGAAACTCGTTCAATATTTACACAAAGACATTAAGTTTGAAGTTGAACAAAATCAGTGCTTGATTATATAATTGGCATGCCGGGTATTTGCACTATAACTTTATCAAGTATGATTGGAATCTGATAAAACTTAGTCAATATTGATATCATACTAAGACAGGATAATTTCCAAGTTGAACAGAATCTTCATATATTTCATTGGACGTTAGCCCTTGATCATGAGGTACTCTTGTTTTACCTAGTGATGAATGGCAATACAATTTATACAATGTATATACTCTATCAATGTAGTAATATAACTTGCTAAAGGCCAAAAAATTGTGTTTCAAGTTTCATGATAAAAAAATTAGGGAAGGGAGGTATTTCTATTTTTTAACTACACAGCTTGTATAAATGCCAGTTTTATCAATTGCAAGTTGTAGGTTTCATGAACATTATTACAAATCCAAACATTCACGTAATCATCTAGCAATTGTCTATGTATAGTGCATATTGTGGGTCCTCAGTAACTTCAAAGACTGTAGTTGAATTCATTGATTGCATCAATGTATTGTGTGCTTTGTATATCTGTGAGCTACTAATGCACTGACCATTACACTTTCTGCACATATGAAATTTATAGCTACTTTACTAACAAATTGACTTATACTTGACTCCATCATACAAGTGAACTAACCATGCATTTCTTTGGTGCTGAATATGCTGGCCTCTTGACAGTTTTTATATAATGAGCTAAAATTTTAAATTATCTTATTTTTGATAGCTTGTTCACCATTAATTTGAATCAAATTATAACTGAATTAACCAGTTACTTAATTTCAAATTTCATGAGAACGTATTGATTTATATATTATAAAGTGATGCATTTTCGGGTTCAGTATGTATAAATATCATATACTGATTTAGAACAATTGATTTTTTCTTTATTGATACATGTACATATTCTTTAGAATTATCAATCTTAGGTACAAATATCGCTTATTGCTTAACACACAACCTACCCATTGTTTTCTCAACCTAAAGATTTACAATATATAGAAAAACTGAGCCGTTAAAACATCTATGACTAATACAGGGTGTCTCATGGAAATGAGTGCTCATCAAACTTGTTGTAGATTTGTTTAATTAACAAACAGTACAGAAATTAAATGGCTTTTCAAATAATAATTCATAAAACGGCGTCTAGACAAAGAAAAAGTAAAATATAGCTCACTGTAAAAGTCAAACGTCAAAAGCAAAGTCAAACCATAAAACAATGATAAAATATAAATTCTCACTAAATAATTAATGGAATATATCACCATACCTGCTAAAGTTCAAAATGGACAAAAGGGAAAGGTTAAGTATTTTGGAAACATCAGCCCTGGTCAGCTATGAGATCTTCAGAGCATTCGTTAGTGCTTTATTGAATCCATCCTCGATATTAAGGGGTTACGCTCACTTTCGCTCTCTGCACTCCTGGAATATGTCATAGTGGCTTTGAAGTCCGGCGTCGCTCCTCTGTAATCTTCAAAGGACAGGTATCAGCTTAACGATTGGTCAGTCTTTTTACCCTTAGACCAATCAAACAGCTATCTTCGGGCCTTCAATTTTGCTATGACATATTCCAAGGGTGCAAAGAGCGAAAGTGAACGTAACCCCTGGATATCGAGGATGTATTGAATCAAGTGTGGTGGAAGGTAACAGGTTTGACTCTCAGTGTCAAGAACGGGGAAGGGGTAACTAGTAAAAGACTTCTAAACAAGTAAAATATACCAAGAGATATTTTGTTATATCAGGGCAGAAAAACATTGATTGTCTGTCTCAAATCAATTGTTATATATTTGTATTTCAGAAACAAAATATGATAAAGAGTAGTCGAAGTTTGCTTTACATAGAGAATAATACATGCCTTTTTCCATATCACACCCAGTATCACCCCGAGACTGCAATATCAGCCCAAGGGCCGAAGGCACGAGGGCTGATCTTGGTCGAGTGTTGATACTGGGTGTGATATGGAAAAAGGTGTGTTTTATTCTGTTTATTACATATTTACTAATAAAAACTACTATCTTATTATTTAATTTTCTTTTTGAAATATTGAAAAACGAAAAAAAATCCAAAAGTGGTGTGATATGGTTTTGCGGGCTGATACAGGTTTTGGGGTGTGATACGGCGGGGGCTGATACGGGTTTTGGGGTGTGATACGGTGAGGGCTGATATGGGTTAGAGAAATTGTATCGTATCACATATACAAAAAACCTGTATTTATCAGTAAGTATGTAATAAATGATCTTATCATCACAAAATCTGCTACTAATATTCAAAATGTAAAAAAAACACCCATAAAGGCTTTAGAGATTGAAAACTAAAGGTCAACTTCACAAGGTAGATAGGCTAGAGTTATTTCAAACAAATCTTTTGCTATACAACAAATAAATGAAATAAATGATTTTGCCAAAACTGCTACAGTTGTTAGTTTATAAGACTGCAAGTCTAGAACAGTTGAAGGGGGTTTGATAAAATATACTGTAAAGAGCATCCAGGAGGGAGCAAGAGGATGGAAATGAATGGTGTATAGTCCTCATGGAGGCACATGGGTGGGGCCTGGTTGGTGAATTTCATCCCAATAGGGGTCATAGGGATAAATCTTTGAAACATTTACTTAGTCCATTTGTTCAGTTAAAAGGATTTCAACCCAACTTGGTATGAAGCATCGCCTAGCAAAAAAAGTTTGTTGTTGTATAAATATTTCAATTTAATAAGTTTGTAGACCATTACTTTTTGAAAAGCTATCAAATGAAATTTCTCTGGTCAGAAATCCAGATAAGCAATCGAAAACTTTGGAAAATACAGCAAAAATGTTTTTTTATATAAGGGGTAGAAGCTAGTATAGTCCTTGTTGAAGTTGTACTTGAAACGTTTTAACAGTGATGTTTTAAGGAATTCTTACACTGTAATTAGTGTTATTACAACGTTTTAACAGTGATGTTTTGAGGAATTCTTACACTGTCATTAGTGTTATCACAACGTTTTAACAGTGATGTTTTGAGGAATTCTTAGAAATTAGTGTTTTTTATCACAACGTTCGTGAAGTATCGCTGTAGAGAGCTTTACCTGTTATTTTACAGTAAATGAACATTCTATATATAAACAGGAGTAACGATTGGTAACCACCATTCTATTTATAAACAGGAGTAATGATTGGTAACCACCATTCTATTTATAAACAGGAGTAATGATTGGTAACCACCATTCTATTTATAAACAGGAGTAATGATTGGTAACCACCATTCTATTTATAAACAGGAGTAATGATTGGTAACCACCATTCTATTTATAAACAGGAGTAACGATTGGTAACCACCATTCTATTTATAAACAGGAGTAACGATTGGTAACCACCATTCTATTTATAAACAGGAGTAACGATTGGTAACCACCATTCTATTTATAAACAGGAGTAACGATTGGTAACCACCATTCTATTTATAAACAGGAGTAACGATTGGTAACCACCATTCTATTTATAAACAGGAGTAACGATTGGTAACCACCATTCTATTTATAAACAGGAGTAATGATTGGTAACCACCATTCTATTTATAAACAGGAGTAACGATTGGTAACCACCATTCTATTTATAAACAGGAGTAACGATTGGTAACCACCATTCTATTTATAAACAGGAGTAACGATTGGTAACCACCATTCTATTTATAAACAGGAGTAACGATTGGTAACCACCATTCTATTTATAAACAGGAGTAACGATTGGTAACCACCATTCTATTTATAAACAGGAGTAACGATTGGTAACCACCATTCTATTTATAAACAGGAGTAACGATTGGTAACCACCATTCTATTTATAAACAGGAGTAATGATTGGTAACCACCATTCTATTTATAAACAGGAGTAACGATTGGTAACCACCATTCTATTTATAAACAGGAGTAACGATTGGTAACCACCATTCTATTTATAAACAGGAGTAACGATTGGTAACCACCATTCTATTTATAAACAGGAGTAACGATTGGTAACCACCATTCTATTTATAAACAGGAGTAACGATTGGTAACCACCATTCTATTTATAAACAGGAGTAACGATTGGTAACCACCATTCTATTTATAAACAGGAGTAACGATTGGTAACCACCATTCTATTTATAAACAGGAGTAACGATTGGTAACCACCATTCTATTTATAAACAGGAGTAACGATTGGTAACCACCATTCTATTTATAAACAGGAGTAACGATTGGTAACCACCATTCTATTTATAAACAGGAGTAACGATTGGTAACCACCATTCTATTGATAAACAGGAGTAACGATTGGTAACCACCATTCTATTTATAAACAGGAGTAACGATTTGTAACCAACATTCTATTTATAAACAGCAGTAACGATTTGTAACCAACATTCTATTTATAAACAGGAGTAATGGTTGGCAACACGGACACAATTCACTACACACCGTTCACCCACAACATCTACAGGTTCAGCCCTACGTTCATGTTCCCCGACGACATTCCACGCTTCCACGGAAATAACGAACGCCTCTCTGTCCGTAACTACGAACAAGCCATCAACTTCTACAAACATTTGATACAAAATGCTGATGTTAAAGTATTGCCGACCCACCACAAACATGGAGATGAACTGTGAACAGTAGGATTATTATAATCAGTTTGATAATGCTGCACAATTTACTTAGTATGAAATGATTTAACAAACAGCATGTTGAATAATTTTTTTAAGTTTGATCTATTCTGTACTTTATGTGTTTGTAAAGTTCTGTTAGGTATTTGTTTGTTTACTCATTCACCCCTGAATTTTCATAATGAACTATTCCAACATTTGAATTAGAAGAGTTCAAATGTGTCTTCAGGGGTAAATGAGTTAATGCATGGTTGACTTCAGCAATATTTTGTTACACCATGTTATGTCATATAATGTAAAGTAATTCAGCGACAAGACATGAGAATCGTATAATTATCAACCATTGTAAAGTAATTCAGTGACAGACATGTGAATCGTGTAATTATCAACCATGTAAAGTAATTCAGCGACAGACATGTGAATCGTATATTTACCAACCATGTAAAGTAACTCAGCGACAGACATGTGAATCATATAATTATCAACCATTGTAAAGTAATTCAGCGACAGACTTGTGAATCATATGATTATCAATCATGTAAAGGAATTCAGCGACAGACATGTGAATCGTATAATTATCAACCATGTAAAGAAATTCAGCGACAGACATGTGAATCATATGATTATCAATCATGTAAAGGAATTCAGCGACAGACATGTGAATCATATAATTATCAACCATGTAAAGGAATTCAGCGACAGACATGAGAATCGTATAATTATCAACCATGTAAAGTAATTCAGTGACAGACATGTGAATCGTATAATTATCAATAATGTAAAGGAATTCAGCAACAGACATGTGAATCATATAATTATCAATCATGTAAAGGAATTCAGCGACAGACATGTGAATCATATAATTATCAACCATGTAAAGGAATTCAGCGACAGATATGAGAATCATATAATTATCAACCATGTAAAGTAATTCAGCGACAGACATGTGAATCGTATAATTATCAACCATGTAAAGGAATTCAGCGACAAGACAAAGCAGGTGATGATCAGTGCATTGGTTGGAAGCGAAAAGTAATTTAATGTGTATATTAATTCATACATGCCATTTGAAATAACGAGGTCACAACAACATAATTTGTGTGAGAGGAAAGTGAAATGCCAGTCATTTTCATTCAATAAACTAGGTCCCATCAATTCCCAACTTTATGACTATAAATATCTAATGTAATTTAATTCTAATAATGTATCTATTACATCCTCAAAATGGTTGTAGTCCGTTTCATTTTCCTTAAAGGACATTTAACGATTGAATCCTCCGCAATGGTATCCTCCGCAATGGAATCCTCCAATATAAAGTCCTGAACTCTATCAAAACATTAAGAATGGCGCTATTCATGCTCAGTCTCTAAATGGATAGAACTATTGGGGCAGTTTATTTTACGTGGTTGTAATGGTGAAATTTCCTGTAAACACAAAATTCCAGAAGAAAATTGAAGCAGAATTACAAAACCACAGGACAGACATGCCTTGATCAAGTTCCCTGGAAAACTTTATCAGACCACCAGGAGTCGATCTGTCCCCATTTCTCAATCATTAGGCTAGTCCATAAAGTGAGCTTTTCTGTCAGTTTCATCCAAAAAATGTTAGATAAGTTTGTGGGGTACGTACTAATATAAAGGCCCTAAATGGACTGTATAATGCCAACTAATTAGTCTCCGAGTCCTTTTATTATAACCTTAGTCCCTAAATTGTCTATACTACCATCATTACATAAAGATTTTTAGGTCACCTGAGACAAAGTCTCAAGTGACCTATTGCGATCGCCTTTTGTCCGTCGTCCGTCGTGCGTCCGTAAACAATTTACATTTTCGACTTCTTCTCCAAAACCCCTGAACCAATTTCAATGAAATTTTGCAGGGACCTTCCATGGACAAAGGTCAACAAAAAT